CCGCTACTACAAAAAATAAATTTTTTATGTCAGAAAAAGTCTTTTTTTTGAAAAACGAGCGTTTCATAAGTATAGGTTCACCCCCGGAAAATTTAACATTAACAAAGTTTTATTCAATTCAATACTTTGTGGGCTTTCCACCAGTGGAAATAATAGAAAACAAGCGGTTTGGCATGGAATTTAACAACTTCTGGAGGTAAGGCTTCTTCAGGTTCTTCCATGCGTCCACGAGGGCAGTTTGGAGCTCAGAAACGGTCTGGTATTGCTTTCCCTGACCATATACGACGCGCACGAGTTCAGCCCAAACATTCTCCATGCTGAAAACTATATTCTGGTAACGAATTAAGAAAAAACAGTACCTCTTTCTATACAAGCTAGATAAATGATGGATGTTGCAAATGGAGATAAACATGAACTGATAAAGATGATCTAAAAATATACAAAACATTTGCTGAAGAAAGGGTTATAGAAACTTACATTTATACTGAGTCGACCCGAAGAAAGAATAATAAAGCGTCCGTTTGCTAGATGGACATGGAAGGCAACTGACGAGAGCAATGCTGAGCTGGTTGGGATTAACTGAGTGTCTGGGCACTTCATAGTTACTCTGATATCTCGCTCTTAATAAACTACTCTTTTTCTCATTTACTAGTATCTTACGTTCTCGGGTTTCTCTATCCAGAGAAGAGCGGGGCTTCAGCTGCTCAAAACGGATTGAGTTTCTGGTTCTCCATGGTTACTCTTATCTTTCGTGGAAACTCTTTTTCTTATTTTCTATCAATTTTTCTGCTCTGACATCTCTACTTTGACGCTTTCCTGCGCGCTGCCACTCGCTGAGTTGAGGGGAAGGAGCTCCTCAATGAGCAATAGCATGATATGCAAGCTTCTTAGAAGATTGCATATATTGAAGTAGGAAATATTACCAAATGAAAAGTGAGACAACCGAAAGACAACCGTAAAAAAGTAAAACTTACACGAAAAAATGTGTGAATATGGTTATGGTCGGTTGGAGAATCGTTTTATTAATATGGTGGGCGAAAGACCAAAGAGGAAGATTTCCAAGGAATTGAGAAAAGTGAGAAAGCAATGGAACGGAAGCCGTGTCGTGCTGAGTTGAGGAAAGCCCAAAAAAATCAAGGTGATGGATTGGCCGGCTTGTTCGCCGGATTTGAACCCAATGGAGAATGTTTGGGCTGAACTCGTGCGCGTCGTTTATGGTCAGGGAAAGCAATACCAGACCGTTTCTGAGCTCCAAACTGCCCTCGTGGACGCATGGAAGAACCTGAAGAAGCCTTACCTCCAGAAGTTGTTAAATTCCATGCCAAACCGCTTGTTTTCTATTATTTCCACTGGTGGAAAGCCCACAAAGTATTGAATTGAATAAAACTTTGTTAATGTTAAATTTTCCGGGGGTGAACCTATACTTATGAAACGCTCGTTTTTCAAAAAAAAGACTTTTTCTGACATAAAAAATTTATTTTTTGTAGTAGCGGTCTAAAAATTGTGGGCGATATGTATTTTTACATGGACTTTAATATTATAACAACCTCAAACCTCCAAGATTTCCCACCTTGTCTACCAAGGGTGAACCTATACTTATGAAACGCACTGTATAATTTTGTCAAGTTGCTTCTGTCGACTGAAAATTGGCTAAAAATGGTACTTTTTCGACGGCTCTCTCTAATTTTGGCGCTCAAGCCAGAGACAAGAAATTATATTAATAGAGAACAATGAACAGATTTTGAGTTGAAAAATCCGTCAGAAGTATTTGGCGTGTTGGCACATAAATTTTAAGAATTGCATGCATTAAACTTTATTCATATCAAAAACATTTCAACGTCATTTCAATGGAAAACCCAAATCGGAATCCTCGTTGTTGAACTTGGCAAAATGTTGATGAGCAAAGGTGTTGATGAGCTTTCTCGATGTCACATATTTTCCACATGTGGAATCTCTCCCGAAGTTCCATATTGGGGGTTAGTTGACTTTTTTGTGGAGATACGTTCTATGTTTTTGTCTAGAATCCGGAAAAATTAAAACATTTCATTCAGGGTTGTCGGTCATTCCGTTTGATCAACAATGTAATACCATTCTAAACAATGCAATCTTATAATCTGTTTGAGTGGTATTGCCTTTTGTTTGAAAAAAAGAAAAATTATTGAAATACCTGAAGACAGAACGAATACACTGAAAGAAGGAATGATCAAAAGAAATAAGGGGAAGAGATAATCAGAAAAATAGGGCTTATTAACAAAGAAGACTGCCAAGCCAGACGGCTGTCAAATTTCCTGAGTAGACCAGAATACTTGAAATTTGCGAAAACGATGATGATGAGTACACGAGAAAAAAACGTTGATTACTGTGTAATGCTGAAAAATTATATTCTGATAGCGGATTGAGAAAAAAGTGCTCACTTTTTTCTACACTCCATAGTTATTATAATATTCCCACTTTTCATGAACTACTATTTTTCTCATTTTCTATTACTTAATGTTCTCGAGTTTCTTTGTCCCGAACCTTCTTCCTTCTTTCGTAAGAACCTCATATGATGGACTTGAATGGCGGCTGAGAAAAGCGAGGATTCAGCTGGATGAGACAAATTAAGTATCTGGGTTTACCATAGTTATTCTCATCTCGAGGCTTAAACTGGAACTAATAATTTAACAAAACATCGTAGGCAAAAAAATAAATGAACAATTTATTTTCAATGCAATTGTTTTTGGTGAATACGTTCGAACGTTTTGGAACAAGAAAGAAAAACTATAAAAATGACAGATAGGGTCCATTGGAAGACTATTGAAACAAAAGGAAGAAGTTTTAAAAGCCATATAGAGAGAAAAGGTACTAAAATAAAGTACAATGAAGTGGACAGAGAAATCTATTGTGGAAAAGGAAATTTGTTTTAATACATTGAAAAATAAGGTCCCAAAATCAGGTACCAGTCAAGTTGTCATAAGAGAACTATCACAAAAAAGAAAAACTTTGAACTAAGAACTATTGAAGAAAGCAAAGAACTACAAAACAAAAATCACATAGCAGTCATGGAAAAAAAAGAAATTTTAAAGAGAAAGGAATTTCAGAAAAATCAAGAAATAGACCTCCATGCACAAGGTTGTCCTATGAAAATTACATTTAAACTAATAGTAAGAAGGAGATATCATAAAAATCAGAAAGGTAGACTTCCATGCAGAAGGTTGTCAAAGGAGAACTACAATTAAACTAAAAAGAGAAATTCAAAAAAATCAGAAACTAGATCGCCATTCAGTAGGCAGTCATGGGGGTCGTGATCGCCATGGAGATCGCGACAGACACCGAGATGACCGTCATCGCTACGATGAGGACAGAGATCATCGCAGAGATCAGAGAAACGTCAGCGATTATGACTCCGAAGAGCTTCGAAAATTCGAGGAAGATTATAAGAGTGATCGTCTCGGTCAATACGTCTTCTCAGACCTCAATTCTGCTGTTAAAGGACTTGTGGTCCAACCGATTCATCTCAACAAAGAAGTGAATCGAACAGTGATAATAGACAGCATATGCAAAGAATCCGCAGAAAAGTAAGTAGATTTCAATTGAATTTGAAAGATTTTGAAGCGGCTGGTTATGAATTTTTGAACATTTCTTTCAGAGTGCGGTTCGAGTTCGGAAAAGGAGAAGATGCCAGAGAAATCTCTGTGCAAGAGTATTTCATGGTTCATCACAACATCAAATTGAAGTTCCCCAAGTTGCCTGTCGTCATCTCTAAAAAACGACAGCACTATGAGTTTTATCCAATGGAGCTGCTCGAAATCATTCCAGGACAACGTCTGAAGAATAACAAAATGACTGCTGGAATTGTTAGTGATTCTGAATCACGTTTCATCTACAAATAATTTTTTACAGCAGCAGTTCATGACCGGGGCAAACAGTTCGCTCCCCCTGGACTATATTTCCCAGACACGCGTCATCCTCCAGGACTATATGAAATTGGGACAGCATCGAAATAACAAGTATTTCGACGCGTTCAAGATTCGTATTATGGATCTTCACCCGGTTGTTGTCCGTGGAGTCGTTTTAGCTCCTCCCCATATCTTCTTTCGCCCGGACAGAGCCCGTGTAATTGGCGGTGGATCCGATGTCCGAATTATTGCGGGGCACGAAGAAACGTTCGTAAAGCCTGCAAAACTTCGATCCATCATGATCATCGACTACTGCAAAGGGCTGCGTGAGATCGAGTGAGTCCTTGTCTTTTTTACAGTGTTTAGTACCTACTCATAATTTTCAGCGACTTCAAGCGTTGTCTTTTTTCAAAGTTCCGTGAGCACAGAATCGTTTACAAGGATCACGATGTCGAGTGGATTGATGAGACCTGCGATCCTTCGGATTTTGCCAGAACGAAGGATCTGATGAAGCAAGCTCTGCGCAAAAGGGTCAGAAAACACACCAGGGTAGAACGCTCATCAAACCGTCAACTTTGCGCCTATATATCTAGCTTCTCGTGAAAGATATTAAACAGTTGCAAACTGATGAAATATTCATCATAATATCAAAAACATTTCATCAGTTGACCACTTTTCAATAGCTTTCACAGGAACTGAGATAAGTTAATTCAAATATAAAAGCTAAACGGACCATTCTATTCGAATGTTTACGGTAGTTTGATAGTGACAGAATTGTTTTCAGACATTCTGAAGTACTACGAGGAGAAAATTGGACAACAGACACTTCAACTTTGTGCCGAAACCGTGATGAAAATGGCAAGATGCGGTGGCAATAAGACGACCGTCGACAATGTCCTTCGCAAACTCAACCTCAAATGCGGTGGAACAAACTTCTATGTGGGAGTCCCAGATGCTGTCAATAACAGACAAGTCTGCATCAACCCTGAGGAGATGAGAAAGAAGCTCTACAAGAATACTCAGTTCATCGGATTCGAGTTATCTCATACCGGAGCCCAGTCCAAATTTGACAAGCTGAAAGAGGATGCTGAAATCGATCCAACGATCGTTGGTGTGGCCTACAGTCTGAAGCACGCAACTCAACTCGGAGGGTTCTCCTACTTCCAAGACGGCCGGGTTCACAAACTCACGTAAGTTCAATAGACTTCTTCAACTTTCATTCGTACTTTTTTTAGCCATGTCCAAGAAAAGTTTGGAGAGTGCCTCCAAGGATACAAAAAAGCAACGGATTCTCTTCCAAAGACCATTGTGATCTACAGAATCGGCTCAGGAGAAGGCGACTATGATCAAGTCCGGAAAGAAGTGGAGGAAATGCGAGAAGCATCCGACATTTTTGAGTCTGGATACAAGCCAAAGTTCCTAATGGTTCTCGCACAAAGAAACTCACACGTTCGCATCTTCCCGGAGCATATCAATCAGGGTAACGCCAGGATTCAAAATGTTCGATCTGGAACCTGTGTGGAAAGTCTTGGATCAGCTCACGGAATGATGGAATTCATTCTCTGTTGCCAATCAGCGATGATTGTGAGTTTCATTTCACTTAATACATGTAATTGAAAGATATAAAATTTTCAGGGAACTATTCGTCCAACACGATACACTGTGATCGTCAACGACACGGATTGGACGAAGAATGAGCTGATGAATGTCACTTATCATTTGGCTTTTGGTCATCAAGTGTCTTATGGTCCACCATCGGTCCCGAATGTGTTGTACGCAGCGAAGAATCTTGCGAAACGAGGCCAGAACAACTTCAAGGTTCACAAGTAAGTAAAAATGAATGATGTAGATATGAGTTAAAACTATATTTTTCCAGAGATATGGCCCATATCAAAGACAAAACTAAGAAGCTCTACGAAGAGTATGCTGACGTCCTTGGGAAGAAGGAAGAAGAAGAAGCTGTGCTGGACAAATTCATCAATGACCTATCCGAAGAAGTCAACAAGTGTACCATCAGTGGCCGCAACTTCTGGGCTTAGTAATAAAAAAAAAAAGGAATTGTTTCGAATTATAGTGTTAGGATCTAAAATTTTGCATGGGGCGTATCACGCCGAATTTTCATTTTAGATTTAACAACAACAATATGGCAATGATCATACTACGTTTAAATGAATAAATTGTTTTTGCAAAACTTTTTAAACAGGTTATTGAACAAATAGATTGCGAATGGCGTTGCAAGTCTTATCGAAACGCTTCATGAGTTTTTCCAGATTGTCAGATTCTGATCTGGTTTCTCTCCGAATCTTCTTTTAAAGCCTCACAATTCTCTTTGGAATTGCCTCAAATACCTCCACGCGCAAGCGCACCCTAGCGCACAGGCAGCGGGAAATTCCCTTTTTGCTGGATTTCTTTCGACGTTTTTCGTCATTCCTTTTGAGTGGCCGTTCACTAGATGGTGAACGTGTCAAATTGCTTACTAGGTTTCAGTTTTTAGTCTTCAGATTCCTTTCTGAAAGTACAAGTTCATGAGCAGGTGATTGTACGAAAGTTCTAGGTTTCTCTCTTTGTGTTCTTTCTGAGTCTGAGACTCTTTTTTTTCTTTGTGTTGCCTTGGTTTGAGAATAAACCGTTAGTTTATTCCAAATCGAGCGCTTTCTCGTTCTTTTCGTTTCTCTTTTTATACAGGTTTTGGAGAGAGTTTGTGAGGCAGGCGATCCCTGACCGAGCAAACCCTTTTTGAAATTGACTAGATGTTCTTTACAGAATATGGTGAAAAAAGGAAAACGTGTTTGAATAGTTTTCGTTTGAGATTTTCTCAAGCGGTTTAAAGGTGGGGGGACAGGAGATTTTTCGTAGTTTTTTTGTAGCTAGAGTATGCATTCTACCGTCACGGTGTACAACGCTTAATGTTACTCTGCGTACAGCTGTCGTCCTCGCCTTTATGTATGCAATCGGGCGTGCGCTTTTTCTTTGCCCGCGTGGCTCAGTCGGTAGCGGCGCCGCGCCCTCATTCATCGCCCTCACAAGTTCAACTCCTCGAGGGGCATCTTTGAACGGAATTTCGAGAACATTATTTGTTTCATGTCCCCCCACCTTTAAGTTTCTTATGGGTTATTACTTCTAATAACCCATAAAATTTGTTCCGTTTCCAAAATGATCTTTCGATCTCTGAATCTGTTCAATGATGTTCGATAATCTTTTGGCAGAGTGCGCGTGCTCTCCCGTTGGAAGTAGAATTCAATTCTCGACTTATGAAAGTATTTGTCCATAAGGGTAACCAAAGAGATTCAAAGAAAACGTAGGTTGGGAATAGACTGAAAGGGAATGAGAGATATTAGAAAATGAAGATAAAGAAAAGAAACAAACAAAGATTGTGGTAACTATGCAGTTTTCAGCTGTGTCTCACCACCATAGCAGAGAAAGCAAAGCTTCTTGTCAGTCGTGTTGAAAAATCATCCAAAACATGCCAACTCCCATATCATTTGATCAACACTCGTCCATTGCAAGTGTAAGCGTCATACAGTGGCGAAAATTAGTAAGCGTCACTCTATACTTTTGTTCATAACTTTGCTCAAACTTGTCCAATAATTGGAAACTTTTGTTAAATGTAGCTAAATTTCCAACAAAACACTATATAAGTTTTTTGAAACTCAATCAATTTTGTGTCTTCTGAACCTTCGCAGACGTGACGATGACTCCAGAAGAAAAAACCATTTTCCGTTAGAATTTTTTTGAAGATTGGCTTTTTAATGAAAACTGTTTCGTGTTGATCAAATATACACGAAAAAAAAATTTGAAGCGGTTTGGAACACTTGCTCTAGAGATGTGCTCACTGGAGCATAAAAGGTATGGTTCAGGAGTTTGGCTATAACTTGGGTCAAAATAATTTAAATTTGCTCAAATTTCGAGAGAATTTGTGTCTTTAATTGCTCTACAATATAAATACAAAACTTCGTAGTTTCGAAGCAAAAAATTTTTCATAGTTTTTTTTCATTTTTGTGTACCAAAAACGGGTAAAACAAACAAGCAAAATTTTTTATTTCCAAAATTTCGATTATTGGACAAGTTTGAGCAAAGTTATGAACAAAAGTATAGAGTGACGCTCACTAATGTTCACCAGTGTATATGCTTTTAAGAGGTACATTATGTCTTTCAGCTGCTTGTCGTCGTTTCGTTTTCCTACGTAATCAAAGAGATCTACTTATCCTGCGTGGTCGAACTCAACAATTAATTTTACAAAAATAAAAAAGTAAGACCTTGATTCTTTTGTTTTTTGTATCATTAGTATTTTCCGCACAAAGTCATGTAACGAATCTCATCGTAACGAATCTCGCACAATTTCTCTATTTTGAAAAATGCACTATTGTTTTTAGAACGAGTACTTGCCATGTGATTTATGTGTAGAGTGAGTCAAGTATCCAAAAATTCAAAAACCTGTTTTGCGATATAGTCTAAATTTCTTTCCCAATAATGCTTCTTGTCAGAAAATTTCAAAAATTTTCCAAGAACTAAAAACTCTTTGTAAGTACAGTAACCCAAAATACGCATCAAAATTAGATGATAAGTATCGTGTTCTAAAAACTGAAGCACATTTTTGTATAGATGAATCCGACAATGGATCGGCTTCCGCAACAAGGACACGTGTCTGGATCCGAAGTCTCCCCTCTGATGAGTTTATCTTTCTCACAATTTTTTTCCTATTCTCACACTAGATCCCAATGTCTTTATTCCATGAAAATGTGATTTGTAATTGAGATATTTTGAGATGTCTCAAAAAGTCATCTCAATTTTTTCCGCTTCATCTGAATGTTTCCTTGCTTTCCGATGAGCTTATCTGTTTCCAAATTTCCTCTCCCTTCTATCTTTTTTTAAGCTTTTACGGTGGAATTTGCATTTAAACAAGGGGCGACAAAGACTGTCAAATTCCGGGCCGCAAAAAAACTGTCTGAGATTTTCAACTGTATCCAGACAACCGCGGTCTTCAATTTGACAGCCTTGGGTGGGCGGGTGGGTCGCCCCTTAATTGTGGGCTCATATTGCAGTTTTGCCCTCCCGTTTTCTCCGCTAGTTGAACACGATGTAGAGGAAATCAAAGAAAAAGTTGTAATGCATATTACATTAATTAAAACGTCTTCACATCTTTCTCTTCTAGCTGAGGTCCCAGAAGACAAAAAGTACAATATGAAAAATTTTGCATGTAGCGCATAGTAATGTGAAATGTGTGGAAACTTTTTTGTTTTTTTTTGCTTTCTAACTTTGGGTGTCTGAAAGAATGGTCTACAATAATGAACTAATACTAAACAAAACTAGAGCTTCATTTCTGTAGTTGACATTATTTTTGCTTAAATTCTGTGGCAAATAAGTTGCATAATAATATATTGCGACGTTTTAAAAGTTGTCTAGGATGTTGGCTAACAAATAATGGTCAGCTGTAAAAAAAGAAGCTTTTAGTTTTAGAAACTATCATAATATATTTTAGACGCCTAAAGTTTTTTTTTATTATCAATATTCCCTAATACTGAATCTTGATGGTTTTTTCTTAATGAAAGATTTCTATCCATTTAAGCAATTTCTTCATTAAAAAAACTAACAACTACCGGAATCACTCTAAAAAACGCCACCCAAACCGTCGTCAACGTCGTCAGCCCATATATGTATCACGGTTTCTATTAAAGATATAGAAAAGTGGTCAAGTGATGAGATGTTTATCATAACATCAGCATCATTTTATTATTTAGCTACCTTCTGAAATTTCTTACACGAACCGAGATATATGGGCTCAAAGTAGAAAATTAGGGGCCCTTATATTGAAGGTTTTACGGTATATATAAAGGCCCAGGATAGACAAAAAACAGATGCCTAAGAACATTGGATCAATTTACGAATTTTATAACATTCAAATAACTGCATTTATGTAATAGTAGTATAAGGATTACAAGCAAATTTTTCTCAGTTTCTGTGAGCAATATGAAAAAGTTGTCAACTGATAAATTTATCACTATAATTTCAAAAATGTGTTGCCAATTGCCGTTTGAAATCTTTCAAAGGTATTGAGATAATTGAGGTCAAACAGTGTGGGGGTCCTTCGATTACAGGTTTTACGGTGTGTCGGTATGATTCAAAGGTTATTTAGCTATATTTTCTGTAAAAATAGACAAATAATTTTGGGGTCATTAGGGTAGTTTAGGAGTGCAAAATCCTCAATTGGAGGGGTACGAAACACCTCGAAAAATACGAATTTTTAAAATGTTTGCACCCTCCAAATTATGTGCCCAAAAAAGAAGGTTAAAGCATTAAAAAATAGAATTGACGAGACCCTTCACTTGAACGAGTGTGTGTGTGTGTGTGCGTTCTTTAGTGCGGACCACTGTGTTCCTCCTGTTTTCTCATCGCACGGGCCATCTCCTCCTTTTCTCTCCCTTCCTCTCCCCCTCCCCTCCTATTCCCCTCCTATTCATATGCGAGTCAAGGGGCCCCCTCTCTCAGCAGCAGCGTGGTTGTGTGGTTGTGTGCGGTACTTCGGTCCTCGTACTCACTGGTTCAACCCCGCGGCGGTCAGAATGATGACGCTTCGGCCCATCCTCTTCAGTCCGCTATTGTTAGGTGTGCTTCGGCCCCGAAAACCCCCCAGGCGTGCCTCGGCCCAAAATATAAAACGTGTGACTCGTCACCGTTTTGCATTATTTGAGAAAATTTAGGCTTGTTTAATTTTATACAATTTTGTCGGTCAGTGGTCCATCAAAAGCTTCAAATAAGGTTTGTCAAAGGAATTGTGTGTTTGCTTCAACGGACCATCAAGATTTTATCGTTTCACTGAAGTCCCATTGACAAGTTTGTTTCAAATACAGGAGCTAAATAGAAACCAGATAGACATATAGGGAAACACGTTTTTGGATTGATAAAGGAAATGAAGAAAAGCAACTCACAGGCAAGGTAAGGATTTCCAAGAGTGGAAAAAATCCAACTTTGATTCTGTAAATTCATTTTCTGTAAAACCGATCAACTGACATCATGTTTGTCGTTATATGAAATGTTGGCAGAGTTTTTATATCTTTCCCAGGAACCGAGATATATGGTTTGGGTCGCTTTCTATTAGAGATCTTTTTGCAAACTTGAATCTTTTTTTAACTGGGGCATCAATACACCTTAAAGGTGGGGAACGCGAAAAACGTTTTAAATTATTTTTGTAACATCAAACGTTGGCTTAAGAATCCAAAAAAAAGGAACACAAAAAAGATTTGAAAATTATTTTAAAAATACAAAACAGCGATATCGGGTAGTCCTTGAGTACTCGATGCTCTTGAGATGTGGATGCTGTTTTATTGGCAAATCCAGAAGTTGTAAAAATTTTTGGTGGAAGGAGCTGAAAGTTTCTTGGATTTGGTTCTTATCACCAAATCAAATCTCAATATTGTATTTTTAGCTTACCAAATTCGTCCGCGTCATCATCTTCTGAATCGTTTTTGCATTTCCAAAATTGAAGCTCCCAGAACAAACTCGTTCATACTATTCGACCCACAAGCAATTTATAGTTTAAAAATAGCGCAATCTCAAGTTATGGTTAATCCATACTGCTATAACCATTGTCTTTGTGATTTCGTTATCCAGACTCAACTCCAAATGTTTACCTTATTTTCCACGCCCCACAGAATTAGTTTAAAAAATTTGGAGTGAAAAAATCTCCACATTTCAATTGAGTCACTGGAGAAAAGTTTAGACTCACATCAGAGTAGAACAATTTATCCCCAAAATACACCCGTGCCACAATAGAGGCGTTCTCAGAGAAACTCATGGATGTTGTGAGGAAGAAAGGCCACCATTGGTAATACCATTTTTAGAAATTATTAAATACATTTTTAAAGTTTGTCTTGTTGATAAGGGCCATTTTGCAAAGGTTACATCTTTTGAATGTGTTACCATACTTTGCCGCACCATGTAGAGAAAAAATGGAAAAGGACCAAAATAACATTTAAGGAGCAAGCTTATATTCATTAATAAAAATATTATTTCAGAATCAGGATTATGTTTAAAGAACAAATTCATTTTGAGGCCCAAAGCAAACAATGATAGAACTAATTTCAATGTTCAGTTTTTCAGTAGACAGAATTTTAGTTCAGCTCCTAACAAAGACTATAAAAATGCAAGAATAAAATCATTTCACACTCCGAATCCTGCTACTCTTTCGACAACTTCTAAGGGCTCTCGCTCTTTCAACACCTTTTCATACAAACCAAATTTTGAACAGCACATTTCGCACCTTTTCTCAATTCTCATCAGAAATTCTCGTTTCCTGTTCACTTCTGGCCATTCGCTTTCCTTCAAAGAGTTCGAAACAAATGTTTTATACATGCTCGTGTATGTGTGTGCGGGTGCGACTTGATTAAACTCGCCACCACCGCCGGCACGCTTCATGAGGGTCGAGACGTGGTGTGTGGGAATAGGCGGAGAAAAGAAACGAAGAGTCGCAGAGGTTGCCTGAGCAACCGCCATCCACCTGCTCATTACACAGAGAAAAGGAGCGAGGAGGAGGAGGAGGAGAAGCCGGCACTTCTGTTTGTTGCACTCGACGGCTTATATTATTTTGTTGTATTCTGTGTCTAACTCAATTTCGACTTTTGATGTTTCGTGGTCGTCGGTGTTGATTTCTGATTCATGCCATTGCCAAACGGTAGAAATGTCAGTGCTAAGCCAAGGAGGTCAAAATCCACATCTGCTGCAACAGGTTGGTGTTTTAATAGTTATTATTTTGGTATTTTGATTTTCTTGAAACTAGTCATTATGACCAAACTAGAACAAAAATTATAATAAACTTTAGTTTTCATCCTTTACTCCTAAAGTTTGTAGTGATAATTTGAATATGAAATTTCGAAATTCCTAGAACATTAAGTTAATATTTTATGTATTATTTCATCATATTCCGATCTTCTTAATCTTTCTAGGACTCATTTATTTCAAACACGAACATGTATATAGCCTTGAGACACGGAAAACGAGACATGTTACGAAATTGTCGTTTCCGGAAGAAACGGCGGGCGAGAGTCATGCAATGTACTAAGTTTTTCCAGGCAAACTACCACCTGTTGTTTCAAAAGAGGCTCAAGATCGAGCAGATGCAATGAGAAAGGTACTGTTGGAAGGGTTTATTTCATACTTGTAAAATTCCGGGCCGGGCCGGGCCTGAGGAAATTTTCAAGGCCCGGGCCCTGCCCGGAATGCCCGGTGTCAAAAATTCTGTATTTTTGAGCCAAATTTTAAGCTCTCAATATAATTTTTTTCCATTTTTTTTTTCGTATTTCGGATCGTTTGTCTGTCTGATCAAAAAAGATCGAAAAACTCGAAAAAAAATTTTTTGGTCGAAAAAAATTACAAAAGGGTCGCCCCTTATGTGTTTTTTGAAAATTTCGAAACTAGTGAAATGACGGGCCCGCCGGGTCGGGCCGGGCCCGAGCCTCCAAAATTCCGGAAAAAGCCCGGCCCGTTAAAAGTATGGTTTATTTAGATTTTCAATTGATTCCCGGTCACTTTGACTATTTTCAACGGTCTGTAGCTCAGCTGTCAAGTGGCCGACACTTTTAAAAACTGTGGAGAGTGTAAAACGGACTTGGACTAAAAATTTTGGCAAAACAGAATTTTTAAGAAAATGCGTAGTCATGGATTTCCATAAAATTCTGTAAGAGCAAAATTTTTAATCTAGGTATGTATTACATCCTCCAGAAATTTCGAAGCGTCCGGAAACACGACAGCCAAGATTCAGAATCTTGAAAATGGTCATAATGACCAAAAGTGACTGAAAATATGTTTTTGTATATCTCATTGACTGATACTGTCTATTAATTTACTGAAAATATGTTTTTTATGATATGAAGTACATTTTTTCGGTTTAGCATTTCCAGACATTTTGATATACTACCGTAAAACCTCTAATAGAACGACACCCGGATCGTCCACTTTGAGCCTATATATCTCACTTCTTTTGGAAGACATCAAAAAGTGGTTAACTAGTAAAATGTTTATCAGGATATCAGCAACATTTTTTTAATTAGCCACTTTTTGATATCTTTCACAGTAAATGAGATATATAGGCTCAAAGTGGACGATCCGGGTGTCGTTCTATTAGAGGTTTTACGGTAAGTAAAATTTCAGTTTAGAACTTTTGTGAGAAAAAAATGTAAAATGAAACCTTATGTGATATCCATAGACTTCAATCATCCCTATTCTTTCATGCTTCCTTATCTCCAACATTTCAGACCTTCGACCGACCAAAAACCGCCCATAAAAGCTCTCGACCCCCAACTTCCAGTAAGTTCCGTCCCCATCAAATCAATCTATCAACCCCACATTTCCGTAGATTTCGCCCTGCCATCATTTGCCAATGGACGTCTTCCCACGGCCACCAAACACATGAAATTGTCCATGAAAAGATCGAATTCGGAAACGAGGCCTCTGCCAAAAATTGAGTATGGCCGCTCGGAGAGCCGCGAGCAGTTGACCGATTTGCGAGACGAATTGTTCCAAGCGAAAAAGGTTCTTTTAAGGCTTTTTCACTTTTTTATATATAAAACTTTATTGCAGAAAGTGGCTGGCTACGAAAAAGATATGAGAAAAATGGGCACTGAGATGAAACGGATGCAACGAGATGCCGAGAAAAGAGAGACTTTCCTGGAGCGAATTGTAACCGCGCAGGTGATTAAAAAATTTTTTTGAGTATTAATTTTCCAAATATCACAAAAGTGCATTTCAGTATCACCCCACCGAGTTGAACGACACACATTTGGCTCGCACGCTGACATCAATCAAGCGAAAGGAAATGGCGAAGGAGAACCTGATTGCTATTCAATCCAAGGAGTTGGAGTGAGTGGTTTCGGCGAATTTTCGAATCTCTGTGGGGTATCGTATAGCACTAAAAACCTAAAATTGTTATCATAACGCTGGTTGTTTTTGTTTTTCGTTAGAAGGGAACGGAGAGCGTCTAATTAGCGGGTAAATGTGAGAAAAGCAGGAAAAACAGCGTCTGGTGTAGTGTCGATGGGGAATTCAAAATATGATAACAGATTTTTGGCATGAAATTTGAAAACTTGTTACAGTAATACTTGTTTTAGGGCATTTAATTTGGAGGGTACAACGATTCCGTGGTACGAGGAGTACAAGGTGATTAAGGGCTTGAAAATCCTTAAAATTCTTGTGATCTCTGAATTTTCCTCTATTTTAGAATTCCGAAACTTTTTTCGCTAAAATTTTGCGTTTTTCGGCTTCAACATACTTTTGGAAAATGTTTTAACATACTTCTGGAATACTTTCTACAAAAAAACGTATGGAAATGTTCAATTTCAAACTACATAATCTGAGGAGACTCCTCTGTCATAGGTGCGCTTCTATTTCTCAGAGCCCCTATCGGAAGGCCGTTCTATTGAAGGCCCCTTCTATTAAAGATGCCGTTCAACTTCAAGGGATTTACGGTATCACCAAATTTACAGACGCCTACGAGCACTTCTCCGAGATGTACCTGGTCCTTTGGAACACAAACATCCTACACAATCGATGGAAATTTCAGAAATTCCAGAATCGGAACCTAGCGAGGAGGAAGTAGAATCCGATTACCCTGAAGGTAAGCCCCACTCGTTAGTACCCTTATAAGCAAATTCCTTGCAGAACCCGACCAAGTGGAAGGAAACGGATTAGCAATGAAAGGTGAAATTTCGAATTCATGAGTGCAACGAAATTTTATATTACAGATGACGAGTTAGATGAGGTATTCGAAACGCCCAAGAAAGAGACCACGAAGCTAAAAGGGTCCAGCAAGGAGAGGAAGGAGTAAGAAAGCACCTGTCCTTTTTCTTATGTACGATTCTCTTTTGAATTTAGATTGGCTAAGAAATACGCAGAGCAGAATGAAAAATTGAAGCAAAAACTGAAAGAGATGAAAGCAAATTATGTGTCAATCGTGGAGAAAAATAAGAAGAAAGGGGAAGAGTTTGCGAAGCAAAGTGAGAATTCCAGAGCAGGTATAAAACGAAAAATGATTAAAATGGCTGATTTCAGAAATTTGAATTTATTTTAGTGGTAGAGAAAACCGAGGAAATTAGTATTGCCCTGGATTCACTTCAAAAGGAGAAGGAGGATTTGGCAGTTGCCAAAAAGAAGAATGAAGAAGAGATTGATAATTTGAATCAGGAGTTGATCGAGGCATATGGTGAAATTGACGCATTGAAGTGAGAAATTAGATTTAGTTTTAGTTTTAGTAGAGTTTCAATCCAAATTTCAGAATGCACAATGAGAAACTACAAGAGAATTTGAAAGATCTAGAAGTTCGATTCGGAAATGTCAATCTAAGCGACTATGAGACCAATATCATGCATCCTCTAAAGTGAAGATTATCTTTTGCCGACTTTATCCTATAACGACAAGTTTTGTCGTTTCAGTATACCTCGTCTCGACATGACCGATATTGACGTTGATGAAAACTGCACGTTGCACGAATACACTGATAGAAGTGTTTCAACCGATATTTCGGAATATGATCATGACATTCTCGCCGGTGTGCTGGCAGAAATTGCCGGTGCGCACTGTGAGCGGTTGCGATTGATTACCCAAGAATAATGGACCTTTTTTTCCAAATCATTTCCAAATTTCCACCCTTTCCTATCCATTTTATTACTGTTAAACCTACATTAGCAGAGCTTCTTTCATAGAAGAGTAACTTCTATAGAACGGCCGACCCCTTGTTTAGAGGGGGGGGGGGGGGGGCTCATTTAACAGAAGGATTTCTTTTATATCACTTTTTGCCACTTTGATAGAATGAATCCTTTAACAAGGCATCTGAAAAAATAGAAGCAACTCTCTTATTGAAAGGCCCCGTTAATAGAAAAGCCCTTGTAATACAGGTTTCACGGTATTATTTATGTCTTTCACCCTTTTTTGTGATTCTAAACCTTTTTTTTTGATGACTGGTTTTTTTGTATGATGATCTACTCTTTTTTTTTCAATTGTGTGATTTTCTTTCAATTGGAGTAATTTTTATGATTTTTTAATTTGAACTTCTTATCGAATTTTTCTTAGAATCCTTTTCCTCCTTATCCTGAGACCATATGCTTCCCCACTACTCGATAATAATTTGTGTGCCCAATTTTTGCCCTGCCAATCACTCTTTCTTCATCTTGCTTACATGTTCCGAAAACTAAGTCATGACAACAATGCTTCAAAATTTTTCTCACGCCTTCAAAATTTTTTTAAAATAAATTTCAATCTACTTTTTTGTTTGTTTACAGCAAAGAAAATTTCTGAAACTGCTGGAATTTGCAACGCTCTCTTCAACTTTTATTAATACGACCATAAAACATGTGCAAAAAATGGAGAAAAGTTTGCTGATAATGCGGAAAATATTTCTTAACTGATGGGTTATCATTGGTTTCTACTCTCTGTGTCTTTACATTTCTTCATTTTTGACTTCTCAAATTTTTTTGTGGGGCAGTCAGTCATTATCAAATGGTTTATTTAGTTTGAAATAAGCTTCAAAATTTGAAAAAGAATTTCTGACCTACCAGTATAAAAAAATTTTCTAAAATTTTCAGATGATAACTTGATTGTTTAGCACATGAATTCTGACTGTGACTATAACATCAAGGTAAGTGACCCATGAAAAACTTATTTTTCAGTTGATTTTTTGCCATATTCACCAATTTCAGGTGTCTGGAGCACGACTATCAAGTTTTCAATTAATTCGAAAATATCGGAGGGTGTGAAACAGACCTAGACTGGAAATTTTGCATTCGCAGAATTGTTCAAATCTTCCTAGTTTCCCGGTTATAAACTGTTGTTCGATTGACACAAATATCTGAAAAAAAAACTAGGAGTTTTCAAAAAATGCTGTAAATTCAAAGTTTTCAATCTCGGTCTGTTCTGCACCCTCGAACATTTTCAATGTGATCGGAAACATAGAAGTCGAGCTCCAGACTCCTGAAAATAGTCAAAATGGCCAAAAAATCAACAGAAAAAATGTGTTTTTGTATATCTCATTGTCCGGTACTGTAACTCCTACCTTTCAGAGTAGCAGTAGATATTTCCAATCAGAATCGTGTACGAAACTGAATTATGTGTATACATCTCGACAGTGTGACGAGTACTTTGAATATTTGGAAGAGCTCCGAAGAATCATTTTTGGACGCAATAACACTATGTCGTCAGGTGAGCAATTACCGAAATGGAAGTCCATCCGATACGTGCACTTAGAGATTCATCATTTCGGTTCTTTCCAAAGATATCAAATAGTTGTCCACCGATAGTTTATTTATCCTATTATAACCAGTATTTCATCCGTTGACAAGTTTTGATATCTCTTACAGCAACCGAGATAATATAGTTCAAATAAATGGAACGGGCTTCTATCAGAAATACAGAAATACGGGGGAAGTACGGTAATGAAAATTGCGAAAATCCCATTTCAGCAGAAACGTTGCCAACACACCCAAGTTCCGTTCACTATCACACTCAAAATGGCAGAACTCTAGTCTACGAAATCGGAGATTCCGCACACTATGGCATCACACTCTCGCAACTTCCATCTAAAACTGAAAAATTGGTCACAGAAACGTTTTGTGCTGAAGAACACGTACTCGCCCAACCGGAAACTTCCAAAATCATACCTCCGATATTTCCCCCGAAACTATTTCATCAACTACCATCCAATATTGAAGGTGAGGCAATGATAAGTGTTGATAATTAGTTGCTTCTTCTTTCAGAGCGCATGAAAAATTGCTTGCACTCTTCTTCAGAGGTTATCAATAGCTATTTGAGTGGCAGCATCGAGCAATTAGAAAAGTTTACAACGCCTTGTGATGGTGAGTCATCAATTATGAATTTACAAAAAACCATTCAATTTACCTTTATCAAATTTAGATACTGCCTTCGTTCAAAATTCAAGCTTCAAAATGCCAGAAAGACAGTACCACAACTCTTATAATTTCTCTGATGACGATTTTGAGGACTCTGAAAGTTTGAATTTTGGGGTGGATGAATCGTTTGCAGTGTCAGAGGAGTTTGCAAAAGTCTTAGAAGAGACAGATTCAGTTTTCGAAGAGCTTGGTGGTGACGACGAATTCGAAGATCGCTGGTCGATATCAGATGACAAGGTGAAGAGGATTGTGGGGATTGTAAAACGGCATGTGCCGCCTTCAGCAGTGATGGTCAATCATCCTCCATTAGTGGAATACGCTCCAAATCCCGATCATAAATCCTATAAATGGTTGGAAAATGATTCTTTCAACTTCCAACTTCCTTCAATTCTCAATCATCGTTCTGAACCTTTGGAACATCAATCGCATTCCTCAATTCAGGGATCATCTTCCAATTCAACCCGCAAAACGTCTAGAAGCTCTACTCCGTCCCAATCTCTTTCCTCACAAGACTTCCCAATATCTCCCAATTCGAGCCGAAAAACGTCTGGAGGCTCCACTCCTCTTGCTGGAAGTGTACTTGTCAACATGATTGAGGATTATGTCAAAATGGTGATGGACGTCTCAAAGGCACTAGGAAATCCCAGTGAAGCCCCTGAAGGTATTAAAATTCGTTTATATATATTTTTTTTCAGTTTTTTCTTTCAGTGGTGTCAGAAGGTGTTTCCGTAGTTTTGCCGGTTTCAAATGTGATCGAAAAACAAAGAAAAACGGAAACCATGGAGAGTTTGGAAACGGAAATTGAATCTGAAAAGGATGAGAAACTAGGTAAGTTTAAAAATGACTAGGGACTCAAAAAAAAAGTTTCGAGAAAGTGTACTTTCCAGAAGCCAAGAATGAAGATCAGACAGTGATGTTTCCCCCAATTGCACCAAGAAAATCATCAGTGGAAAAATGGGAGAGTGCTACTTTGAAAAAGGAACGTCCTCAGAGTTTTGAAGAATCCGCACATTCCGAAGAGCAGAAACATCTCGAATTTTCTGTTGTGTCATCATCAGATGTTTTTCACACCGAACCCTTCACATTAGAAGACATTATTCGTTTGCGACGGTCACTCTCTGGTAAGCGCTCTCACAGAATCTTGCTCGTTTAACGAAAACGAAAATTGTTGTTAATTTTTGGCCATTTCGGTCATTTTCAGGAATCTTGAGCTCGTCTATCAAGTTTCCGATCACAGTGAAAAATTTGAAAGGTGTGATATAGATTGCAAACTTCACATTTACAGAAATGTTCCAAAAATTCCCAGTTTGTAGGCGATTTCAAATAGACACTCACTTTTGGCAAGTTTTTGTACTGAAAACGTGAAAAAAAACAGGTTCTTCCTAAATCGGCAAATAGCTAAAAAATTAGAAATCATCAAAAACTTTGTAATTGCAGAGTTTTCAATTTAGGTCTGTTTCACATTTCTCAAAATTTTTAAAGCGATCGGAAATTTGACAGTCGAGCTCTAGACTCTTGAAAATGGTCAAAATGGCCGGAAAACAACTGAAAATAGGTTTTTGCACACCTCAGACAGTTTCATTTCAGAAAGTTCAACATTAACAAATCACTCGGAATATGCTGACGCTTTAGACCACTTTGATCAACCGTGTAGCCAATTGGACCCCAAAAAATCCCCACTAAATTCTATTTTTCACGATGATTTTTTGAAAACCCAAAGCGAAGACAATACTGACGTGGACGCAGTGAACTCCAACAACTTCCTTCACTTATCATTCTCCCGCATAGGAAGTACTTCTGATAACGGAATTAGTGAAAAAGACAGGAGTTCGAACAATCCTGATGTTGAAAATAGGAAGAAAGAGGAGTCCCAGTTTTTTCGTGTGAATAAGCAGCAGCCAGGATGTCCAGATGTCCCTCCGGATGCCCAGATTAATGACGTCATCGAAATCAAAGATTGTAATGATCCTCAAGAAGATTTCCAGCTCAACCAGCTATTTAAAAACAGCAATACGGATCAGGATACCTCAGAATCTACGGATTCGAATTTGGTTGCCAACAAAAGCTTTTCTTCTACGGTAACTCATGAAATCGAGGAAATCGACACGATTCATGAAGAACCGCCAATTTCATTTGATGAGTTTTCTGACGACGTCACTGGAGAACATCTAGATATTCTCAAAACCAATAATGAGATTAAAAATCTAGTCGAAAACTTGTTGGCACACGTTAAAGAGGAAACCAATAACAACAATCCAGAGAGTGTGTTTGGCGAGAATTTCATTGAAGCTGATTCCAATTTTCACATCATGGAAGTTATTGAGAATCTGCTGACTACAGTAAGCCAAATGGATCAGAGACCTGTCGAGAATTTTCCAAATGATGTTGATGTGGAGGAAGCGGACGATTTGGAGGAAGATGAGAAATTGGATGAGGCGACAGAGTTGGATTTCGGATTGGAATACGATCCCCAAGCTTCCACAGATCTGGACGAAGATCAGAGATCAGTGCAAGATGAAGAAGAAATTTTCGAGAATCTGTTGGATGGCATTGCCAGCCAAGTCGAAAAGGAAAATACAGAGACAACAAATGATACCGATGATTCGATAGCCATCCAAAAGGTTTCTGAACCCGGAATTTCAATCATACCAGATGAAGAACTCTTCCAGGAACCCACTTCCCAATTTGACCCTAATAATTACCCCGAAACTCTCATGGAAAATATTCCCGAATCCCATCACAATTTCAATTCCCCTGCAAATGAGAATTTTCACGGAAACGGCGAGGAAATCAAGGACGTCATTATTTCGGGTAGCCTTCCAGCTGAAACCAACAAGATCAACATTCAAACTTCATCAACCGAATATGCATGCAGTGAAACAGAAGAAGGAATTTCGAATGAGCAAGAGAGCAGAATCAGTGATATGGAAACAGAAAACAATCCGTATTTCAATGCTAGCTCAACGGAAACGGATACCATGAATTGTCAGAAAGTTTTGGATGACGTCCCAGATTGTGTTCCTCAAACATCAAACACAATCAGCCAAGTCGAAACGAACAAACTCGCCAACGAACTTGCAGGCCAACTCGCAGACCGAATTGCCGGCGAACTCGCTGACCAACTAGCCAACGAAATTGCCGACGAACTCGCCGACCAACTCGCAGACCAAGTCGCAGACCAAGTCGCAGATCAACTCGCAGACCAACTCGCTGATGAACTCGCAGACCAACTCGCTGACGAACTCGCCGACGAGGACGCTGCTCGTTTAGATAACGAAGAGATATCAGAGTTTGAAACTGAACTGGAAATCTACGAAGGATCACCTGAACAAAAGAATGAAGCAGACGTTCTAAACGTTTTGCAAAGCGTTTTAAACGAAGTCCTCTACGACCTGAATGGCTCCGAAAATGCGTGTTTCTCTTCTGACATTCTAGATGAAGCCCAATCGACATCAAGTTCTCCGAATTTCTTGGAAACAGAACTTTCGACAGAAGCATGGGAGGCTTTGCACTCCGTGCTGGACAATTTGGATGTTATCATCCACAATGCTGAGATCAGGCAGATAGATGAAGCTGTGGATTTTGTTCAAGAACCTTTCGAGATCATTGAAGTTAATGTGAAGAACGTGGAAGAATCAGAAAGTGGATTGGAGGATTCGGTAGAATTGGATATCAAGTTGGAATACGATGACCAAGATTCGACAGATCTGAACGACGATTTAGTGCAACAAGGAGAAATCCAGGAGACTTTGAATGATATCGTATGCATTGTGGATGTTGTAGAAAGCTTTCTTCTTGAAATGTCAAATTCGACGGACAGTGAAAAGAAGGAAACTGAAGAAGTGGTTGAAACTGGACAAGATACTGTTACTGGAAACGTGGATGAACCGAAAAAAGAGACTGAAATGATGGATGTGACTCACGTTGGCTTTAAATACAAGACATTTTCCAACGAAGAATTAGTTGACCTTCATGAAAACAAGCATCACGCCTATGAAGAAAAGCTACAGGAAGACAAATATGACGATCTGACCTGCACTGAGCATGAGGAAGTCACTTGTGTAGAAGAGGAGGTTGCCGAGACGGTTGAAATCTTGTTGAATTCTGTGCTGGAAGAAGAATATGAAGTGACAGCAGCAGATATGGACGGAGAGGATAGAAGCAAAGATGTGGAAATAGCTGAAGACGGATACAAAAGAAATGCCGCAGAACATGAGCACCAGGATGTCGATTTTCAGATTTTGAGTGACAGCAAAACGATGTGCGCTATGGAATTGGTCCGAGGCCCTGTTGAGGACTTTGAAGTGGAAAATGTGGAACAAGCGAACAATCTGTCGTCTTTGAAGAAAGCCAATGGATTGGAGGATGTGGCCGTGTTAAATTTCGGATTGGAAAACGATGGCCAAGCTTCGACAGATCCGAACGACGATTCAGTGCAAAAAAAAGAAGTTCAAATGACATTGAATGATATCCTATGCATTACTGACGTTGTGGAAAGTTTGCTTTTTGAAATTTCAAACTCTATGGATCGTGAGCAGACTGAAACTGGAAACGAAACTGAAACTAGAAGAGTAAAAGTATCTCATTTTGGTGGCTCACTCCAAAAGCTGCAGAACGAAGACCCCGTCGATCTAAATGAAAACGAGTATCACACCGTCAAAAAAGAGCTTCAGGAGCAAAATCATGGTGTTTTGGTATGCGGGGAGAATGATGAAATAGCTTATGAAAAGGAGGTTGTTCTCAACTGTGTTTCATCAGCTACGGAGGTTGTGGAGACGATGGAAAACTTGTTGGATGGAGTGACAGCAGCAGATATGGACGGAGAGGGTACCTTTTCGGAACAAATCGAAAGGATGGAGGTTTCTGAAGACGGATTACAAGAAAACGACGAAGAACGTGAGCCCCAAGGTGTATGGTTGCCAATTTTGAGGGCCAATGAGAAGAAGTTCGTTGAAGGAGACTCACATGAAACTTTGTTTAATGATGTCAATGAACCCGTAGATTGGCAAGATTGTGAAATGGAGCATCATGATTTCGAACAGGAGCTTCAGGAGCAAAGCCATGCTGTTCTGGTCTGCGCGGAGAATGAAGAAGTCGCTGATGCAGAAAAGCAAGTTGTGCTCAGCTGTATTTCATTAGCTGTGGAGATTATCGAGACGATGGAAGTCAACATTCTGGAAGAAGAAGAAGTAGTGTCAGCAGCAAATACGGATGGAGAAGAGACCAACGACGGTCACAAAGTTAATGGAGAAAAATGTCATCACCAAGAACCTCCAATTTTGGAAGTCAACCAGAAAAATGCTGAAGGACATCCACACGAAACAATGTCCAACCAAGTCGATCTTCGAGATTTCGAAAACGAGCATCATGATTCCGAACAGAAGCTTCAGGAGCCAAACCATGGTGTTCTGGTCTTCGCGGAGAATGAAGAAGTCGCTTATGCAGAAGAGAAAATTGTGCTCAGCTGTGTTTCATCAGCTGTGAAGGTTGTCGGGACGATGGAAGTCTTGTTGAATGGCATTGTGGAAGAAGAAGAAGAAGTAGTGTCAGCAGCAAATACGGACAAAGCAGAGATCAAAGACGGGTACAAAGCAAATGGAGGAAATTGTGAGCACCAAGAACCTCCAATTCTGGAAGTCAACCAGGAGTACGCTTCACACAAAAAAATTTCCAACCAAGTCGATCTTCATGATTTCAGAAACGACCATCATGATTTCGTACAGGAGCTTCAGGAGCCAAACCGTGATGTTCTGGTTAGCAACGAGAATGAAGGAGTCGCTTGTGAAGAAGAAGAGGTTGTCGAGAAGGTGGAAATCTTGTTGAATGGTGTAGTGGAAGAAGAAGATAGAGTGGCAGCAGAAGATATGTACGATGAAGGTTCTCTTCGGAAACAAAGTCACATGTCCGAAGACGTAGAGGAACGAAGCGAAGTACCCGAAAAAGTAAATGACCAACAACCCCCTACTGTGTTGACTGATTCGATTGAGGAGCTCTCTACATCCCAAATCAAATCGGAAACCAACAGTACGGCTCCAAACTCCACGAACTCCGCGACAGAAGTTTTTCTCAATTTCGAGGATCTTTGTGTGTCATACCTGGAGAACTTGATCGGTGATCAATTGCTTTCTGCGATGGCTTCTGCCTCAACTATGCTCACGTCTCAGTTGGAGCTACAAATGGAAGTCGAAGATATATACAGTATTTCTCCAGCAGTCCCGCCACCACTATCTGACTCATACAGTACTTCCCCATCCGTCCTAAAATCATCACCTAAGTCATTGGAATCGATTCTGGAAGATGAAGAAATGTACAGTACTCCGCCAGGAGACTCAACTGACCCAATGGACGCGATTGTAAAAGACGGAACAAGTCAGGGTGGATCGTCACGTCTAGAAGAGGATATTATGTGCGCTCAGCCAAGGTATTTACTTCTGGAGTTGTAGACTTTTTGAAAATTTCAATTTTTAGGACTCAAAACCATCTTTTCGACTCTAGTCAAACCAAGGAAATCTCCGACAAGATTGTTGATGACAATCAGACTTTTGAAATCGTGGATCCTGATACCCAACTTCTTTTCGAGCCTTCAACCATCATGAACAACCAATCCGCTTCCATTTCGCACCTCGTGTCTGACATCCCCACCGTTTCCAGGTAATTACTATCTCTAATTAGGTGTTAACTTCTAAATTTCTCAGGTCTTTAGTGCCTGAGCGTTCGAGAGGTGACGACGATTCCGACAAACATTTGAATCTGCCTAATTCATGTCAACAACTACAAATTGGTATGTATTTCGTGGAAAAAAGACTATAATTTGTACTGAAATTTGCAGAAAAACCTCGGCCCACGCCTTGGGGATCCAGTCTGGTTCCCGAATCCAGCGATTGCAGCTTATGTACGGATATATACGATCCTGTTCCGACAAACGTGAATTTCTCAACGGACACTTCTTCCAGTTTGAATCCTTCGGAACATCCACCGACTTCTTCGGTAATTTTCAGCTTCACAAAACCTGAGAATGAAAGATTTTTGGCCATTGACCATTTTCAAAAGTCTGAAGCTCGGCTGTCATGTTCCCAAGCACTTTAAAGTTTTTGGAGGGTGTAAAACAGACGTAGATTGTGAAATTAGCATTCATAGCATTTTTGAAAATTCCCAATTTCTCAGATATTTGCCGATTACTTAAGAACACCTTTTTTCACGTTTTCAATACAAAACGGGCCAAAAATAGGCCCCTTTCATAAATAGGCAAATAGCTGAAAAACAGGAATTTTGAAAAAATCTTTGAATGCAAAGTTTATAATCTAGGTCTGGTTTACATCCTCCAAAGTTTTAAAAGTGATCGGAAACATGATAGCCGAGCTCCAGAATGGTCTAAAGATCCGAAAATCAACAAAAATATACTTTTTCGTATATCTTGGTATTGTATGAGTCATAACTCATTTTCTTAATTTTTCCAGGTTCTGGAAGAAGTCTCCCATTTCCTTGCTACGGCTTGTGTCGCTGCGTTAGTATTCGTATCACCGACAGAAAGGTATAAATTTTTATTACTAGACATTATTTGAGTAAAATGCTTTTTTTTTCAATTTCCGGTTTTTTTTCCAGCTCTGATTCTACTTTCAATAGTGACATCATCGAGGACGCTTCCAAATACATTAACAACAACAACTCAAAGCCAACTTCCTAATAACCCCTAGTTTTTTTGATACAGTGTAAATTGAATAAATCATCTAACTTCTCGATATTCTTAAAATAATTATTTGGGTTTCTCTCCAGGGTTGTGTTTTGTGAATCACCCATTTCATTATCATTTTACCACCCACATCTGGAGGTTGTATGTTAGCAAAGTGTGAAGCACTCTTTCCAAGTTTCCAACTTATCAGCTAGCGTTTCGATGTCTGCGTCTGATTTTTCAACATTCCTAATCGTTTTAAGGAAATCGCTCGCTTACGGGCACCACGCTCGTTATCAGTTTTGTATCAGTTTTCTCGGGGCGAGTGGTGCTAGCCGCGACACACACACTCCGTGAGTCTTATTATTATGGACATTTTTCTTACCAACTTGATATGGAGTTTTTTCTTTTTCTTCTTATGAATTATAAAATGAATATATTCTATTTTCAACTTGAAGTATTAATTTCGCACGTTATTTTCCTAGTTCTCATGAACTTATTCAATGTTTTCGCGGTTGACATTTTTGTCGTTTACGCCTTATAAGATTTTTGCAGAGGAAAAGTCATAATGGTGGACCGAGATATACATAATTCTGATTCGCGAAATCCAACTGTTCAAAGATCAAAGTCAAGTGAGTGTTCTGAATTCTTTCACAAGGGAAATTCAACACATTGTGAACCCACATTTTAATGAAAATTTCAAGATAGGTTTAAAAATGCCTATTCGCTTGCCAGTTCTAAGCCTAGTTATATGAGTAAGCCTAGTTATATGAGCCTAGTTATATGAGTTATATGAGTCAGCACCAAAAATCTTGTTTTCAGTGCAAAAATATTTTTTGAGACAATTTTCTCAATTTTAAGAAAGTCTTAGAACATTAAATTTGTTGACATTGTGTTTAGAATTGAATGAAAATTTCACATTTTACACATTTTCCTAAAATTTTTTTTTTTTGAGAAAATGCCTGAAATGTTAAATTTCATGGAATTTCGAGTATAACACAACATATTTCATGTTCTAAAGAAATTGAGAAAATCATATTCGAAAATTGTTAGCCCTGAAAACGCTATTTTTGGCGCTGAAAATATGTACTGAGACTGATATAACACTGACGAGCGGATTCTAAAAATTTCAAAAATGTCTTGAACCTGTATTTTGAACCTGTATTAGAAATTTCTTCAAAATTTGGGATCAAAATTTTCAATTTTTTCAGTTGGTGCTCGGTTACACTTCAGCTATACTGGAAAAAAAACCGAAATCAGGGGAAGCTCTAGTTCTCGACCCAAACTTTCGGATACTGTTGGAGGAAGTACTACAGTAGGAAACAGTATTGTAGGAAGCAATCGCCTACTTCGGCAATCAACATTCGATTACTCACACCTCACCAGCACCCCATCCACTCTCTCCCCTCCAATTCCAAGAAGATCAACTCAAGTGTATAATGAGCCCGTAGTAATTCCAAAAGTTGAATCTGCTTCGTTGTTTCCACGCACAACTAACTCTCGTGTTTCTCAAGAAGTTCCATATTTCTACGCCGAAGCGTCTTCTGCACCAATGTCGTCGTCATCTCATCTCGCGGCAAAAAACATCACCCAGGCAACTTCCCCCACTCTACTCCCTTCGCCTCCTCCGCCACGAGCACAAAATCTCAGTGATGCTCCGCCTCCTGTGGCACAAACAACACAATATAATAGGAATTATGGGAACAACTCATATTCTGCATACTCGTCCTACGATCCGTCGAAAAGAGTGACTCCGGCGGATACTTCACCTCGAATACAAGATCCGCGTCCTCCTGATATTCCACGTCATCATTCGTTAGCTCCTGTAGATTTAAACCAATCTCCTTCGCCTATTAGAAGGACGCAAAAAGAAGTTTACCCACACAGTCGTCGTCAGACTTCGACAAATTTCCCGACTGCTCCAGAAACAACTCATCTTCCGGTCCATTCGTTGGCTCCTGTGGAGACAGCTAGAAGGTCTCCATCCCCCGTTAGAAGAGCACGCATAGAACTTGATCCACGCAGTCGTCGTCAGACTACAACCGCTTTTCCGACAACCGCAGAAACAACTTACCTTCCGGTTCGTGAGTATTCGAGATTACCAAATCCTCTACTATCAGTTGCGCGTGAACCTACTCCAACTTCAGCACCCAAACCTTTGTCGCTAAACTCTCAGAATCCTCGTCTAAGATCGCAGGACAGGCGGCACATGACAATTGGTTACACGCAAAATCAATACCAGGTCATTCAAAGGGCTCAAGAAGAAATCAAAGCTGAGACAGAAAGGCAGGAAAACGAGATAAAAGCAAAATTGCAAGCAGAAAGAAGAGCCGAGGATCAAAAGCGCTTTGAAGAAAGACGGAGAATTCGGGAAGCTTCTGAGCTAGAAGCGAGGAAAAGAGTTGAAGAATCTGCAAGGCTGGAAGCTGAGCGACTAGCCCTGGAAGCCGTTATGAGAGCCGCACAACCGCCAGACGAAGATGCCGACGTGGAGAAGTTCATCCAAAATCTCAACCAACGAATCCAAGACTCACGGGATTCAAAAAACTTGCAGGGCGCTCTTGTAGGGCGCCATCAGATTCCAAACGTATGTTCATGACTTTTCTTAGTGTGATACAGTGTAACCTTTAAATATGTTATAAATTGCTAATCGCCTTTTTTTCAGCCTGCAACAAATGCGGAAAATCTCACAAATGCGCTGAATGAAGAAGAAGAAAAGGCAGTTGAAGGCCACAATGATCAAGTAGGGGTAATAGTTTCTTTTCCCCACCGCGTAAATGTCTCACATTTATTGCCTTTGTAGATGTCTACACAAAACGCCGCCACCGCCGACAGCTCGGAGGTGCGTACGTTTCTCGATCGTTTGGTAAGTGTGTCTAGAGTATTTCTTATGAAAGCCTGATTTCCAGAAAGAAATGAAGATTGACAAGAATCAGAATCGCAAAAAATTTGCTGAAAAATTCTACGATCCAGAAGACGACGATTCGGAACTCAATTCAGTGGTGAGTAATTTTTTTAAATTTTGAAGTATTTTTTAAATTCTAGTTTTTTAGACCAGCATGAGCTCATTTCTGTCTACAGTGCCTGAAGAGGACCCGGACACCACTTCACTTGATAATCAATTCTATCTAATTGCTGATTCACAGGTATGGCGCATTTTTTGCAGGATTACTGTAGCTGCAACAGGTATTACAGTAGCTACAACCAGAATTATTGAAGCTGTATTAGGATTACTGTATCTATAGTGTTTCAGTTGATTTCAAGACAATTATACAATATTTAAGAGTCTGGAGCCCTAAATTGAAAATTTTGCATTCACAGAATTTTTGAAAGTTCCTAGTTTTTCAGCTATGTGCCGATTTCTTAAAGACATCTGTTTTTTACCTTTTCAGTACGAATATGGGCCAAAAATACAAAAATGGATCTTTTTTGCCCGTTTCAGCACTTCAAACGTAAAAAAACATGTGTCTTTTCGAAATTGGCGTGAAACTGAGAAGCTATTAATTTTCAAAAAATTATGTGTAGACGAAGTTTTCAATCTATGCCTGTTTTACACTCTCCAAAAATGTTCAAAGTGATCGGAAACTTGACATCCGAGCTACAAGCTTCTGAAAATGGTCAAATTAGCCGAAATCAACTGAAAAATATCTCCTTTTATATCTTATGAACCAGTACTGTAGTTTTAGACCTCAAACGCAATTTTTTCAGAACTTCGAAGCTTAGTTATTATACTTTTCAGCCAAACCATACTCCAACGCTACAGCCACGTGTCATCTCTTACATCCACGATATGGTGGACGGTATCTTATCATGTTTGAATAAGGCCGATTTTGAAAATGTTATTTTCGATACTCAAAAAACATCGTCACAGCTGTACGATGTAGGTTTTTTTTGGAGATTCTAGTTTGATCATAATAATTCCCCCCATAGAATACAAATATCTGTGAATTTCGAATTTTGTAGGAAGACCTCTACGCCGACGCTACAAACTACAACCACCGTGCCATTTCCGAAACTGCTCGTCAGTTCTTCACACCGCAATCTTCGCCAGTCGACGAAACCAATACAAACGATTTCTATAATGACTCTTTATAATTGATCAATAAAATCGAAAGAGACAGAAAGAAAGGCAATAGTGTTATTATCATTATTACAGTCTATGTGTGTTGTGTGCATGATGTTTGTTTACTTTCCGCAGTTTCCCTCAGAGCATGCGATTCCTTGGCGGTCCAACACGTTGAGAGTATACTCGTCGTCGACGGAAGTGAGGAACCATCCGTTGCCAGTGAACTTGGATTGCGTCTTCTTCTTGAGAACCCACTTTCCGTCTTGCTCTCCATAAACCATGAATACCCATGGCTTCTGCTCACAGTTCTTTCCCTTGATCTATAAATTCATAAAATTCGACTTTATCTACTACGTTTGAAGATCAGAGAACAACTAAAAAAGCTTACATTCACACTCTTCTCCTGCTTGAACTTCTCCAAAATCACTGGGTCCGACATAATGGACAAGGATGGGACCAAAAGATCAACACGAACCTGAACAATGACATATTCAAAATATTTCAACAAACTTTGAAGATAATACCTTCTTATGAGCATCGTTACGGAATTTTACTTGGATTTTGCACTCTAGATTCCACTGAGTAGCTGCGAATCCAACAAAAGCGGCGAGGAGGAGAATTTGAAGATAGTTCATTTTGGTCTGTTGGATTCAGTATAAATTTCCTATCCTTTTATGCGACAGTTTAGAAAATAGAGGTCAATAGGCGGAGGAGGACACAACTTTCGATTGAAAAGAAAGCAAGTCCAATCGAACGATAAGGATATAAGATAAGTGATTTGATAATAATGCGAAAAGAAGGAAAATCACTTTTCACGGATATCGCAATTGTTGTGATACACGTTCCGTGTAGAAAATCTTGTAGCCCCGGGATATGACCCGATAGATTTTGATTGCGAAAAATTTGGAGGATCATTAAACGTAAATACGTTTTGACAGGATTCGTATCTGAGAAAATCCGTTTAGTACGTATAAAAAAATGTGTTTTTTGTCGTTTTCTAGAAGAAATAAACCCCCATAAAAATTTATTGGCCCCGAAAAAGTTTTGAAAACTCTAAACGCAAGAATAAGCACATCAGGTCAATTTTCCCATTTGTTGTTTCTTCACCATTTCGGATATTGTGAAGAATGTCGAGTCAATGATTCCAGCCACCGTGAATGTTCCACCGACGACAGCGCAAATCTAAAACGTCAAACTTCATGATTTGTCTCACCCCTACAACTCACCGAGGTCAGGAAAATATAAAACGACTGGCGATGTTCAGTTTGCTTTAGGGTGATCGGTTGCAATTCGTATTTGAACCACACGGCTGGGATGATTTTTCCGGAATGGTGATAGGTGACGTAGGATTTGTGGCCGTAGGTGTATTGGTAGCTGTTTAGAATATTTCCGGAGTAGTCTTCGTGAACAGATGGAACGATTTTGAGAATGTATTCGTGAGTGTTGAGGCCGCTTTCTTTGGCCTCACGGTTGGCAAGAGGGTCGAAACTTCCTTTGAGATTTTTGTGCTGAAAATGAAAGAATTATTGATAGTGAAGCAACTCAGATGGATCAAATAAAACGCTTGATTTCGGTGTTTGAAGTGCAAAAATTGTACAGCGCTAATTAAAGTCATAGCCATATTCATCCACTCCCGGCGCAGCCGACCGGAACATTAAATGCCTATTTCGAGCTCAATTGTCTTAATTCCTGGGGAAGATTTCAAAAATTTGTCAATTAATAAAACGTTGATGATGTTATGATAAATGATTCATCAGTTAACAACTTTTTTGTATCTCCGACAGGAACCGAGAAAAACAGGCTCAAATTTAAAAGTTAGTGGTCTTTCTACTACAGGTTTTACGGTAATTACGTTTTTATGAGATTTAGCAATCAATGTCAAACCAATCAAGTTCATAATTATATTCATAATTTCTCCCGGACATGGTCAGGGCGGACCATAAATACAATTTATTTTGGACTGGAGGAACATGATTTTTAAAGATTTTGGGCTGGAGAAACAGGATTTAAGCCTTATATTTTTTATCGAGCTCAAGTAAATCATATTAGTACTCACACCTATTAAAACCTTGCTATCATACTTCGCCTTGACACTATTTTCCAAAATTTTAAGCATTTTCAAGATTTGACTTGCGGTTTTTAAGTTTTCGCCTAGTTAGGACACACCAAATTATGATCTTACAATTAGTTACGATAAGGGCGCTAACTTGAATAAAAAAAGATTCTTGAAAAAGATATCGAAAAGTAGTCAACTAATAAAATATTGTTGATACTATGATAAACAATCAATTAGTTGACAAGGTTGTGGTATCTTTACAGAAATAGAGATAATTGAGATTAAAACGCAAGTATAGGCTATTTCAAAAAAATCAACATGATTTCTAGCCTTATAAAATCTAATGCTATCTATTAGAGTAAATATGATAGTTTCAAAATGTTGAATATGCTTTAATCTTTTCTTAGAAAATTCAGAAGCTTCAATTTTTTCAGAAACTTTGTTTCTTAGGTGACTCTTTGTCAAAATATGCTTCTTCAGATTGATTTATATTCTCCATTAGTCACTCAATTAAGTTCCTCCTTCCTCTCTCCTCCCACTCACCGAAACATCATCTCCAAACTTGATGGAGTGAATAATATGTCTCATGTCATATCCGTCGGGTTGCGTGGTAGCCGAGTGCGTCGAGAGATGGAAGTTACCGGGCACTTTATTAATCTCGAATCGGCTTTCAAACCGACATCCTCCATCTCCCACTGGTACTTTGTTGGTGTGGTCAATGAATCCGACCTCATGTCGTCCGTTTTCGTCTTGGATGTCAACTCCGATATCTGGAAACTCAGAAAATTAGAGTTTATATCTGAAATAATAAAAATCTCACAATCACAAGCCATGTGGGGAAATGAAACATTCACTTGAACATCAATTTTACCCTCTCTTCCTGGGTCGTCGATGAAGAATTCGCTCCTTCTGAAAAACAATTCATAAAGATTCAAACCTAAATTTGTGGCTTACAAGTCAATGAAAATATAGGCTAGAATGTCATTAAAGATCATAAACGTGATGAATGCCACACATAGGATAGAGATGACTGCACCCGCTGTTGTTGGTTGTGTGAGATCCTTTGGTACCTTCCGATAAATGTCATACCTGAATACTATAGGCTCAAAAAATGAATAGAATGTTTGCTCAAACCTCCGAATGTCCAGCATTGTCGCTTCTATAAATATGAAATAAAAAAATTAATAAAAAAGAAAATCCGCCAGAGACGTAGAATAGCAAAAAAAACCAAGCAACGAACACTATATTGCAATACAATACGAGAGCGACGGGGATAGTGGCAAACAGATTTGGGTGCCCAATGGTTTGGCCAAACCAAACAGTCAAAAAACCTGGAGATGAGGGACTAGGAGATTCGAGGAGAGTTTAGACGTCTACAGTTTGCACACGTCGGGCGGATTTGTGATGGAAAAAGAGACAGACAGAGACACCGTTTAGGTTCTTAGCCACATTTTTTCGTTGGTCAACTGTGCCGAAAAAAGGGAAAGAAGAAGAAGAAGAGGAGTACTAAAAAAGGAGAAGCCGTGAAATGAGAGAAGAGCTTCTGGTTGTGCTCGGAGGTCCAGTTGCAATGGGAAACAGCCTTGAGAAGAGGCGAATGGGATGGAAATTTCGGATTCGGAGAGGTTTCCAAGGCAATAAAAAGGAAAAAAAAGCTTTTTATTCAGAATCGAAGAAAAATTCGTATAGAAAAAAATCGAAAAAACGGGAAAAATAATAATGAGGAGGGGTCCGAATATACACAGAGAAGAGTAATCTAAAAACATCAATATTTGGTTGGATAATTTAATGGTGGTGATTGGAATGGTCCGGTTCCGAAATGATAGTGTCCATTTGCAATTGGATAGGCAAACGACATCTGAAAATTGGAAAAATGGGAAAAAATGCCCAGAAGGAAAAAAAAATAGAAAAACAAACATTTGAAACAGAAGACGCGCTTCCGAATTTCAACAGCTCCTTCCTTTGGTTCTTGTCCTTCCTCCGATTACACAGCCAAATGCCCATCCAACAGATCACGGTCATAATGACAACCAGAGAAAATATGCAGATCAGTGCCACAGCCCAGCCATATTTTTCTTGCCTGAAATATAAGCTGCATAATTAAAAAAAAACTGTAAGACCCTCTAACTTAACTTTGAGCCAGTTTATATCAGTTTCTATTAGAGTCATAAAAAAACTTTCAACTAATAAATTGTTCATTATTCATTATGTTATCACAAACATTTTATCAGTTTACACTTTTTCTATATCTTGTATAGAAAATGAGATATATAAGGTCAAACCTGACGGATTGAATAAAAAGACCCGAAACTTTTTACTTAGAGCCATTTATCTCGGTTCCAGTAAAAGATCTAAAAAAGCTGTCAACTGATAAATTGTTTATCATAACGTCACAAACATTTTATCAGTTGACATTTTTCTGATATCTTGCATGTGAGCTCAGATAATTCAGCTCAAACTTGGCAGAGTGGGACCACTTTTATTACAGATTTGAAAATAACTTAAACGAAGTCTTTTAAGGAAAAAAACCTACCACTCAGTATTGGTACAACATCCGCTGGCACAACAGCCAATATCTCTATAACATCGTTCGGTGATCGTTTCCGACGAATCGACAATCGAGTACACACAGTCATAAAATGCAGGGTCGATGGCTACAAAAAGTTTCCATTTATTAATAAATAACTACAGTATAGTACTCACTATTAGTTCTCTTCTCAAAAAAGACTAGTCGAGGTGCTTCAATAGCATCGGCGAGAAGTTTCTCGATGGCTCGAAGAGAGGTGATGTTTTTTGGCTCTGGAATTATTGAAATTGATGAAAAAAGTGCTTTCGCGGAATTCCGGACGCTAAAGATTAGGAAATGTTTGTTCAAGATTATTTTGTGCTTTTCTGGGAAGATTGGAATGGGTGGGGACAAGAAATATTGGAGAGTCATGAAATCACAAATGATAGAATATCGGCACTGAAGATAGAAAGTAAATTGACTTTGAGGCTACAGTAGTTGAAACCCCCTATTCAAATTTTTGAAAAATTAACTTTAATTATCTTGTTTTCTGAAATATCGAAAATATGCCGACTGATAAAATGTTGGTGATATAATGAATAATACTTGACCATTTAACAGAATTTTGATATCCTTCACAAGAACTAAAAAAAGAAACATAGAGAGAAACTCGAAAAAAGCTTGTTTCGGCTTGATATGAGTAATATGGTCAGAAAAATTGCTCTATAAGGCTCTGAGCAATGAAAATCATTATTTTAATTCCGAAATTAAGGAAATCGTGAAAAAGGTATATAAGATCTGGTGGTAATATTTGTAATTTACCCTAAACGATATATGAGCCCAAAGTTGACAGCTTAGGCATTCTACTAGTGTTTACGGTAAATAGACTAGCAATCGATCGGGTTTAAGTTGTTGAAAAACATGAAATTATCATCTTGATATTTTTAATGATCACAGAAAATGTTATCATATATCAAACCTAATAATCACTAACAGAAAACACCCACCTGTTTCCGGAGAATCCCAACGATTACGCAAGCCAATAGGAATGCTCATTTTCAATGCTGCATCGACGTGTATTTGAAAATAATTCCTCAATATTCAGAATTGGCAGACAGACGTGTGGGCGTGTACTAGAAAAAAATCAAGTCTCACTATTGCCGTCGCCGCCGCAACACACAACTGGCGCAATCAATCCCCCAACCACCGGAATGGGAGCTCATGCGCTGCGCGGCTCGTGGAGCTTGCGCTCGTTCGTGTCGTCATACACCGGTTGTGGTGCGCCTTGTGTGTGTGTGAACAGCAAAATAATATGGTTTTTTGGTCGGGGCCGTGCTAAGCTTGATAATCGAGGCGGCTAACTGGCCGTGAAAAAATGCAAATAGCTGGTAGGCACACCTGGGCTCGAAGAATTACTTGTTGGTGTTGACTTTCACGTCATTTCATAATGGTTTTTTTGCTTAATAGGGTAGAGAATCTGTTTGCATGAGATTGTAGTGTAATGTAGTTTTTTGGCTCCGGGGTATTGTGATAATACAAACGAATGGGCAGGTTTCCAACTCCTAACATATTTTTAGGATTTTCAAATACAGCACGGTACAATAAGATATGAAAAAACAAGTGTTTTAGTTACTTTTTGACAATTTTGAGTTTTCAGGAGTCTAAAGATTTGCTGTCAAGTTTCCGCGTTTTTCTCAATTTTTTTCAAAAAAAAAAAACATTTTTTCGTTGATTTTTTTTTAATTTTAAAATGTGCTCTATCATATGAAATATACTAAAAAATCTCAAAAACCTTTATTTGTTGGTTTTAGACCAAATTTTCCGCCTTCGTTCGCACGGTGACATAATGCCGCGGAGCCATTTTTCTTGTAGGATATGCTATAACTCAATTTAAAAAATTATTTATTAAATAAAAAAAATCAGTTAAGCTCAATCCATGACACACGAGCTTCGAGATGTTGTGTGGTAACCGGTCTGACAATGCAGTAAAGTTAAATTAAGCTCGGTAAACAAATAAAAAGGTTAAGATCCTGAGAACAATCAGAAAAACAAAGTGGCTAGGACATGGGGAAGAATTGAACCCGTAGGGTACATAAATAGAGCTCTCAGAACAGAACGGAAGAAAATTGTGGCAAAAGTAGGGACCCGTAAAAGAAATGAGAGTCAAAAAAGAATATAAAGTTTTTACTTATAGTAGAACATATCCTGGTCCGTGTACTCATCTGACGTGGGATAATTTCGATGGTGTTGAACCTCTAGCGTTCGATAACCACCATTGTATATCGAATTGTTGTTCCTTTGTTGTGTCCAATACGGGTGTACTGTATTGTTGTCATAGACGTTTGACATTTCGTCAAATCCTAAAATGATAATTATTATGGATTTTTTTCTCTGAAAATGTAAAACGTACGTCTCTCTGCTCGTATCAAATTGTTCCGATCCATTGTCGCCGCGTGGTACTTCATTGGGTTCGGTTGTTTGAACATTGAATTATGCAACAGGAGCGGTTTTGATGAGTGCATTGTCCTGTCACTGGACCAATCATTTTCCTGAGGAGCAGCTGGTGGTGGCATTCGTGGTGGTGGTGGTGGTTTCAGGTCTTGATCTCTTGTCGTGGATTCTTGGTTTTTCTTCAGCCAGATAATTGCCAGAATAACGATGAACACAAAGATAGAGACCACGACAGCGAGAACAACCAGAAATCCGTCAGACTTGAATGGGAAGGTGAAATCATAGGAGGATAGCACTTTCAATTCTGCTGATTTGTAAACAATCTGTCCTTGGGCACTTGTAACAACGCATATGTATTTTCCAGCATGCTGATAGTCAACCTTATGAATAGTGAGCCGATTGGTGTACACATTATCCATGTCTTCAGTTGGGATTGTGGATTCTGATTGAATATAATCCAAAACCAAAAGGTTCATTCCATTGGCATGGATTACGGTAGCATTTGGATCCTTGTGACGAATAGCAGCTGGATCCGAGACTTCTTTAAGCCACTTAATGATGGTGTTCTCATTAGATTTGACTTTGCACTGGAATTGAGCTGTATGTCCAGCATATACGCTAATATTGTATGGTTGGTCGATGATTGGTTCCATAGCGGTTTCCTGATGTTCACTGATATCTGTGGTTGGTGGATCGAAAAAGTCTCCAACAGTCACATCGAAAGCGAAGGATAAGGATCCCAGCGAGTTCTCCACAACGCATCGGTAGACTCCACTGTAAGAACTATCAACAGGTTCGACGGCAATTGAAGAGACGTGTTTGTGGGTTTCTGAAAATTTTTTATTTTGAAATGTTGCATAGGTTTCCGGTGTCACTCACTCTCGCTAATTTCCATCTCGTTCTGATACCATCGAATTTCGGGCAATGGGTTTCCTTGGGCCGGACAACGCAACTCGAGTTTGCCTCCCGTGTTGATCTTGATAGGCGATCGCCATTCGGAGTTCATGTCAATCAACCAACTTGGGCTGGCGGCTGCAAGAAATTTTCTTGAGTTTTGGTGTGTTGCAAAGAAGATAGATTAGATAAAAACTTTTTAAAATTGGGTTTAAACGTATTTCCTCTAATAGAAGTCATCGTGGTTTTTAATCTGAATATCTCGGTTCATATGAGAGATATCAAAAATCTGTCAACTGATATAATGTTTGTAATATTATGATAAAAAGTTTATTATTTAGAAATTTTTCGATATATCTCTTAGGGATCCATATAACTGAGCTCAAGTTCCCACTTCAGGTGGGCTCTAACAGAACGCCACCCTTTACGTGCACTTTGAGCCCAATTATCTCAATTTCTGTAAGATTTGTTGAAAATTTCTCAACTGATAAAGTATTGGTGATAATATAATGAATAATTTATTAGTTTAAAATACTTTGCTACCGTTTGACGGAACCGAGATATTCGAGTTCAAAATTGACCGTATATTGTGAGCATTATTATTTTATTACCTATTATTTTACTACGTTCCCTTTGAGTTCAAATCTCTTGGTTCCTATCAGAGATATCACAAGTCTATCGACTAATGAAATTTTGGAGATATTATGATAAATAATTTGATAGTTGACAATTTTCTCACATCTCTCAAAAAAACCGAGATAATTTAGCTTAAAGTGATCGTATAGGGTGTGCTTCTATTAGAGCGTTTTCGATCATCTCATACGTGTTGTGAGCTCAATTATCACGATTCCTATTAGTGATATAAAAAAATCTGTCAACTGATAAAATACTGGCGATATTATGATAAATAATTTATCAATTGCCAATTTTCTTATATCTCTCAGAAGAACCGAGATAATTGAGCTGCTTCTATAGTCTCCAATCAGATAGCAAAACTCACTTGTATTTGACAAAACCAAATAATCCTTCACAGAATTCTCCTTATCATTTTGATCATGTACATGAACGATGAATTCCATAGTTTTGTGTCCGAACCCATTTGTTGCCTGGCACTGGTATCTTCCACTGTCCTCGAATTTCACCGACTTCATTTTCAATTCCTTTCCATCCTTGGACAACTTATACTGACTGTCCCAGTCGAGCTGTAAAATATGGTCGTCATTTCTATGATTGATTTTGTTTTGGTTGGCTCCCCCGGGACTTGGAAGTCCATAATCTAGTATGTTCGTAGTACATCCGTTTTAAAAAGTTTCATTTTCCTCCCCCTCTCTTCCCTCGGACACTGATTCAATCGCTGCATTTGGCACCACCACCACTGCCGCACTCCATCACACTCGGCATTACAAACGACAATGATGGATGACCTTGCCACACATACTAACATATATCTAAAATGAGTGAGGTAGTATACTACCGGGATGGTAGGCGGTAGTGGCGGAGATACATTGGTAGGAAGATCAGAATGAGGAGATAAAGAAATTTTTAACGTACCTGTTCCCCATTTTTGGACCATTGAATCATAGTGTTGTCTTTTTCCAAGACTGTGATGATAGGGCAAACCAGTTTGAATTGCTTTTGGCCCAGCGGGATTCGAAATTTGGTCTCCACATTGTGCATACGTGGGGGCACTGAAAAAAAAACGTATTATGGTAATTGGAGATTTAGTGAGGTCTCTGGTGATAATAGTGGGGACACCCTGTTGTGAAAATTGGGCTATTAAAGAAAAATGGGTATTTTTTCTCCTCTCAATCCATTGTCTCATATTCTTCCTACCCCACCAGTCAATCTTCATTAGCACTTACTCCCCTGGGACCCCCACCTCATAATTAATAAGTGCACAGGTGCTCGTCCCGTTGTCTTGAATTACATTATTACAATTATTCGACTTTTGCCGACCAGCACCGAAGAAAAAGTATCCAATATCGTTTCTTTGTCTGTCTACTATCTAAAAACGGGAGAAAGAAACTGGACAGGTGACGTTTCTCATGATTGACATCTTTTCTACCGTATTCCGACGTCTTCCCCTTCAATTTCCATACTCATGTATATAGTTTCGAAGTGAAATGAAATTTTTGAAACAGAATTCAAAGTCTACAAATGCTATGCTTGAGGGCATTTGAATTCAAAAAGTATATATGCATGGATGCGTCTCTAAAACCCACTACACGTAGTAGTGAATAGAAATTCAGAATATCCCCCCCCCCCCCCGCTGCTAAATATATATCTATGTTTATCTCTCACTTATTTGTTTGGATTGTATTTTAGTAAGTGGAATGAGAGAGAGGGGATATATAGAATGGTGTTGAGCTCTCACTTGTGCAATGGACACGTGAATGGTAAACATTAGGCGACACGATGCAGCTGGCTCGCGCATTCGGGGAGAAACGATGCTTACAAAGTAATGAAAAGGCAGCTAATTGCGAGCGGGCTCCGAGGTAATTTGAGATGTTCTCAACTTCTTCTTCGGAAGGTCCTTCTTTCTCCTAACACCACTTCTTTCAAGATTTGAAAATTGAGACTGCAATTAGTAGAAAGAGAGGGGCCCCGGAACGGAATGCTAATGAAGATTCTCCCTCTTCCGGAAACGCGTCGAGATCTTCTATTCTGAGAATAAGACGAAGTTGAAAAGATTGAGATGAATCGGTGTTAATACTAATCGGATGAAAATTACAAATCTGGTCTTCTCAATGTTTTTCTTTACAGATTCTAAATTTGCAAAAAATCCCAAAAATGCTCTGTCTGCGCACTTTCAGCTCAAATATCTCGGTTTCTATGGGAGATACCAAAAATATGTCAACTGATAAAATATTGGTGATTTTATGAAAAACAATTTATCAGTTGAACATTTTTCGATATCTTTCGAAAGAGCTGAGATAAGTAAGCTCAACGTTTGCGTATAAGGTGAGTTGTTACGAGAGCTTCACGGTTATTACGCTCTGATAAAATTCCACCCAATTTGAGCTCAATTATCTCGGTTTCGAAAAAATATAGCAATAATTTGTAAACTTTTAAAATATTGGTAATATTTTAATTAATAATTTATCAGTTGAAACTTTTCTGATATCTTCTACTGAAACCAGAATAATTTAGCTGAAAATGCTCCCGCTCAAAGCTCTAAGAAGGGAGCTCAAAGTGCACTTTGAGCTCAATTATCTCAATTTCTGTTGGAGATATAAAAGCTGCAAACTATGTAAATGTCACTGATAATGAGATAATTGAAACTGAGATAATTGAAGCCCCTAATTCACTACTTGCTTGTCCCTACTTCGCTTCTCTATGCTTAAGACTCGAGCCTCAAGAACATAAAATTTCAAATTTCCAATTAGAAACCGCCGCAAATCTTTTAATAATATTCTCTGCCATTCACACAAAACCCATCCGCCGACGACACACGTAGAACGCACTTAACCAATTAACCGTGTGCTCCTGCTGCTGCTGCTCCGCGTCCCCCTTTTCTTGATTCAAATTTGTAATTAAGTGGGGATGAATACAACGACAGAAGGGGGAACTGCTTCTAAGAATTCAAGTATGGGGCTTCCGTCTGTTCTGTGGTTGCGCACAACCCCAGAACAATAGGTATGCATGTTGGTCAGTTGTCCTACTATTCTTCGAGGCGAGAATGGTGGCGCATTTGCAGTCACTGCATAGCACATCTTGCGTAACTATGGGCTCGTTGGTCCTTTCGTAATACACTCCAATTACCTATCCCCTCTTATTCTCCGATTGCACACTCACTTTCTCAAATACATCTAGCAGATCGTATATCAGGTCGAAAATGGGCATATAATAATTATTATCCTGGCTCTCATATCCTTGAGATGGGTGTTCTTCTAGAGTTACATAATTGCCGGCGAGGTGACTGACATCTAACTTATCTACACTTTCTTATCAGAAATGCGTATCAATTCTTGGGAAAGAAACGGACGGAAATTCTTCCTAATCTAGTCAACCAATCGGAAATATGGAATATGAATTATAAATTATGCAATGACAAGAAATTGAGGAAGAGGAACATGTCTCATTGAAATTCACTTTTACACACACAGCAACCCCTCAAGCTAGCGTTTCACTTTGGAAAACGGACTCTTCCTTGGGATTCAAAGTGTCAATCAAAAATGCTTCTTTTTGGAAGTCGCCTCCGGTTCGACTTGGCCGTTTTTCGAAACACCATGACATACGGACCATCTTAGGAATTAGTGTGCGAAGTGGATCAATTGGAATACCCATCATGGAAAACAAGCAAGCACAAAAACTGTGCATATGGCAAATTAGCCCTTGACATGGGACAGCAACGGGTCAAGAAGCGAAAAGCGTGCGCGTAATCTACGTTTTCAACGGGAGACGCTAATTGAATTCAACAATTTTACGATGAGGGGGTTTTCACTCACTTCCACGTGCGGCCTCCACAACATGCGGTCGAATGATTGCCGAGTTGACCATCGTGATGATCAACAGGAACACTGCACCCATTTTGATTTGGTCTGAAAGATTGTATTAAGAACAAAATAGTTTTGTTTGGAACACAACTTTATGACAATTGTGGAGGGTTGAAAAGTTTGAAACCAAAAAAAAATAGAGTTCGGGACAGAATGATGGTGATGGTCATAGTGTTAGTTTATTTTAACACCTTACTAATCGCTTTACATTCCTTTCAGACTGCTCTAAAGACGATAAGAAAGTACCAAGTGATGAAAATTTTTTTTTAATGCTAGCTTTAAAGTTTTCTAGGTTTTAAAAAACACAAACTGACCAGTCATGATTAAAAGTAGGGAAATAGAGATTTCAGAATATATAGGTAAAGTTCATTTACTAAACTTCCGGAATGTTCACGCTAATTCGTTAGATAGAACACGCCGCAAAACACGCCGAATGATTTATAGCCTAGACGACTTGGCGAAATTTTGATTTACGATGTGCGTACATCTGCGAGAAAGAGACCCGAGAGGAGGGTGGGAGGGGCCTAGTTGGTGTTGGGTGATGGTGCACGAGAGAGTGTGCGAAGACAAGAGACGGGGGACACCCCGCACTGGCAGTTAATGAAGATGACTAGGCTCTCGGTAGTCAACGTCGGGAAAGTAGAAGACAAGTAGGAGAAAAAGAACAAGAAGAACACGAAAAAAGGTGGACCGGGGGAGATACACGGTGAGTTGGTTTGGCCTGCCGTGTACGGGAGAGACGGGAAGGAAGAAGGGAGAGATGGGTATCTCGTCTTTTTTGTCGTTCGTTGTGAGTGACAGACGTTGTCGGTTTTCAGGATTAGATGATGTCCCACGAGAGATGTAAGAAACAGGTGGTCCCACTGTTTCCAAATTGACTCTAATCTTAGACAATGAGGTGTTAGCATAAGTCATTACAAATACTAATGAGGTTTGAAAGGGTTGTATAATCCATTGAGTTTGATGGGGTGGGTTTAGATTGGATTTGTGAGTGGCAGGAAGTGGATTTGGGATTACTGTACGGAGGATACCATATTTTCTCTAATAGCCTCCTTCAACCGTCATCATTTCCTGTGAAAGATAGCTCAAAGTGGTCAACTGAAAAAATGTTCACCATAACTTTAAAAATATTTTGTCAGTTGATCACTTTTTGATATCTCTCACAGGAATGAAGATAATTGAGATCAAAAATAATGGTTTGGTTGGGCTTCTATTAGAAAAAATTAAAAACCCAGTGAATTATGAAATACTAGACATTATTTTCAAAGTTTTCTTCTATGCATCATTTCATAAATTTTATTTTTTACAAAAATTTGATGTTTCGCTTTCAAATTGTTTTTGAAACCAGCAAGGCTTACAGATAAATTAGTTTATTTTTGAGATATGAAAATTTGAAGTTTTCAAATAATTGTAGAAATTGCGTGTTTGTTGGAAATCAATTGAAAATTGACTTGAAAACAATGCCATCCAATCTGTCAGCTTAATCTCATAAATCTCGTTTCTTATCAAAGATACAAAAACGTTGTCAACTGATAAATTATTTATCATAATATCACCTACATTTTAAATGTTGACACTTTTCTAATAGCATTTACAGGAATCGAGATATATGAGCTCAAAATGCACCTATAGGGTTAGCTTCTATTATAACAAATGCGCATTTTTTAGAAATTAGACGAAAATGTAATATTCCACCAACAAAACTGTTTGAAACTAACAAATTTCAATTCTTGACAACAGGGAAAAATATAAACACTCCAGAACCTCTAAGAAAAAATACCATCACTGCTTAACTGCAGCTGACGAGCCAATAATATTGACCACCGACTCTCTCCCACCTCCCGAAAGCAAGAGGACACATGTTAACAAAACTGTAATCCAAATAGACAACTTAAGCCGACGTGTAAATACGAGCCACTGTAGAGTGAGCAAGCAAAGAGAAGGAATACCAATAAGGAGACGGACCAAAGAGACATTCAGGAAAAATAAAATGTTGCGAAAAAAAACAGCAAAAGAAGATATATAGATGAAAGTGTCAAGATAATTTTCTCGCCGGAAATTCAGTGTATGTGTGATCATTCAAAAACTCAACGTGCTCAATCATTCACAAAATGACAGCTTGAGGTTGTAACATTATTGATGGGCTTTTTCTCCCCTTTTTCTTTTTGCATGTGTATGTATTTGAGTTTTCAAGCTGATCTCGGATTTCTCAAGTACTGTTGAACTTTCAACTAGCTGTTGATGCCTAATGTCCACATCATATCCCCGCATGACAGGTAGCAGGGTGTCTTATACCCGTAAACAGCCAAGTGGGTTTGCTCATTCGCTGCTCGAATAACACACAAGTGAGGAGAGAGGAACACTCATCCCGTCTAGTGATACACCCAATACAACCTGAAGAGAACGACGACGACACACCTCAAGAACCCGAAGAACCCACCCTTCTATGTACTTCAACAACCACGCTCTTGGTTTCAAGTGATACTACATAGATACCATATACAGTAGTGGAATCACATTGCATTTTGGGGTTCACAATAGAACAATAGGCCACGAAAAAAATAAGAAAAGAATAGAATACTACATATATGTAATAGTTTTTGTTTAAACCATGAGCCCTTTCATAGGGAATATGTGCAAACGGGCCCCAATCGGATACAACGGTGCTTGCGAAAACAGGAAATATACATAAGGTGCTAAAAAGGGGCCGTGCTGGGGTGCCGGAAACGGAAGAGCCTGCGGTTTTGGAGGCCTTCTATATGAATAATGCACTAATTGCTGAGTCAGGTGAAAAGAAGAGCGCCATATGTGAAGCGGTCTTGATGAAACAATACAACAGATGGGTGAGGATGAACTGGTAGTTAAAGAAAACGGGAAATACAAAAAATATACATCTTGGAGGGGGAGGGAGAAGCGAATTTTGACTTCTCACTCTCTCAATCTCCAAATGAAATTGAATCAAATTGAATTTGGAGGAAACTCAAGATGTGTGGAAATTGTGTACATATTTTGCAACTTTTTAGACAGAAAATGAAGTGAATATCAAGTTTGTATAGCCAAATACAGAATATAAAAAGTTTCAGAATCAGTGAAAAATAAAAATAAATCAACGTTAGCGAGATATCTAGAAGTCTGAAAAAAATTATGAGAGAAAAATGCTAGGAAAATAATAAAGTGAAATTTCAAAGACATGAAAAAAAACCTCACATAGATTCTTAAATTTCTGAAATTCGAAAACTTAAAAAATTTATAAAATTTATGAGAAAAATGAACTTCAGAAATTTGTACTTTTCCGGAATTCTGAAATTCTGAAATATCTGAATTCCGCAAATTTTTGATTGTCTGAAATTTGCAAAATTCTGAATTTCTGAAATTCGTCAATTCTTGAATTCCTGAAGTTTCAGAAAATTATGAAATCCCAAAGGTTCTGAAATTCCAAATATCCGATATTCTAAAATTTTCAAAATTTTGAAAATCTTGCAATTTCTGAAATTCGAAAATTTAAAAATATTGTTTCTTTCTCAAATTTTAAGATTTGAAAATTCTGAGATTTCTGAAATCATGAATTTCCCGGAGTTTTTGAATATTGAAATTTCTGATATTCTCAAATTTCTGAATACTGAAAGTGCTGAATTTCTGAAACTTCTAGAAATTCTGAAATTCTGAATTTCTGAAATTTTTGAAGATTTCGGAGTTTGGAATATTCTCCAATTTTATGAAATTTTGAAGCTTCTGATTTCCGATATTCTGAAAAATCTGAAATTTCGGAACTTGGAATATTTCGAAGATTCTGAAGATTTTGGAGTTTGGAACTCTTCAATTTCTGAAATTCCTCAAATTTTTAAAAAATCGCGTTTTCGAGAAATTAATTTTCAAAACTGCAACATATTCTAATTTTTTTACAGAAAATTAGGTTCAAAAATTTTTTTCCGGGAAAAATGTTTAAAAAAACTATATTATACAGGGAACCAATGCGGAAAACAAAAATTAAATGAGCAGAATTTTATGAGGAAATTGGAAAAATCGAGATTAACTAATTATCCAAAAAATTAAACCCATTTGGTCCAGTTAGAAAATTTTTTATACAAATCTGAACATCATTTTCACACGCTAATTTTCTTTTTTTTTTCACAGATTTTCACACTTCAGAGAACTAATAACATCTGATGAAATCTTGCTGTGATGTTGAAATATTTGCTTAAGAGGTGACGGCTACCTCATAAAGAATTCCGAGATGAAATAACATTTTTTCTCGTCTTCTTCTCACACTCCAACCCTAAGAAATCTTCTAATAAGCCGCCGGGCACAAAAAAGCTTTTGGCACTTCTGTCACCGTAAACAAATCGTAGTGTGGGGACGGACCAGTCTCCGGCTTTTTTCTCTCCCTACGCCAATTCATTCAACAACTTGATGAAAAGTTAAGAATGCATGCAAGTTTTGACGGCGACGAAAGCTAAATTTGTTTTCTTAGCCTCCAGCTATACGGACTATTTTTCAGAATACTACTAATACTACTCGTACAAATTTTGTGGCAGGTGAAAATGACGAAAAGTTCAGAAAACATCCAGAAATACGAAGAGGGAGGGTGTGGAGAGTAACAAGATCGAATATTGAACGAGGAGGAACAGAATGTGACACTTGTGACATTGATGATGATGAGTATGACTGGCTGCGATTAGTTCTCTCGAGTGAGTGAGCTTCTCATAATTTAATGTGCGCCAAGCAACGGTCAGGTGCGACCCCTAGACAGGAGCAGGCACGCGAGAAGGGGAAGATGATTGAGAGCAATGTGTAATGAGGGAAGATAATGTTTCAAGGTAGAGAACAACAAGGATTCATTTTCTGTAAAAAGAGGAAATGAGCAATTTTTATTTTGGTAGTTATGCAAAAGTAATTTCGCAGAAGAGTAACTTTGCACCGGTTAATACAATATGCAAAAATGTATTTTTCAGTTTAAATACGATCATTTTAAGGAACCTGAAGCTCAACTTTTAAGTTTCCGTTCACTATGACAAGATTGGAAGTTGAAAACAGATTCATATCGAAAACCTCGCATTCCCAGAATTTTTTGAAAACTCCTATTGTTTCGGCCAAGTTCTGAATGACATTTGTTTTTCCCACGTTTCCAGTACAAAAACATGCCAAGAACACGTCTTTTAGAAATCGGGAAATATCTGGGAAACTTCGAATTTTCAAAAAATTCTGTAAATGAAACGTCTTCAATTTAGGTTTGTTTTCCAAAACTTTCAAAATGACCGTAATCTTTTCCAACCGAGTTCAAAACTATGGACAATAGTAACAAAATAATCTAAGCATTATATTGTCGAAAATAATCTAAGCATTATATTTTTGACTGTTTTTTGACCGGTACTGTATGTCTTGAACATTTTAAAAGAACCAATGATTATTTTCTCAAAACCTCAAATAAGGACATTGCTGGCTGATATTTCCGAAAATTGATATTCAAAAAGCAGAAAACACAAATCAACTTCGGATGGTAAACACTTACAATTTGCTAAAATTCATAAATATCAGAAAAGTAATTTTAAAAAAATATCTTTTTTCTCGGTTCCTGATCATTTTGGAATTCTTCCAGATTTCTTACCCTTATAATTTGTTTTTCATTGTAAAAAAGTATTCGAGAATAAGATTCTGGAAATGGAACCGATGGTTCAATCATGCGACGGACGGTCCTAACTTGGGACCACTCTTCTGGGATAGACCCAAAATTGCTCATTGTTTCATCATTCAGTTTGTTCCATAACTTTGTAAAGGATCTTTGTCCCTTGACCTCTGAAAAATTCAATTATCAATCCTGTGGTTTGATTCTGTGGTTTAAACCCCAAAAACAATTTAGTCTAACCTTTCCCACCATAATCCGATTTTCTCACCTTTCGCGTGATCATCTCTATTGGAAAATGACTTCTTTTGACATCACTAACGCAGTTCGCTCATTCTTTATCAATGAAAGGTGAAATTTTCGCTCTTCTTTTCTACAACACCCCAAAAACCTTTTCGCGCTGATAAGAAACCGACTAAAAGGAATGCGCATTTTTTAGTTATATGCTGCGAGCTCACAATTCCTTTCATTTATCTTCTTCTTCTAACTCTCGAAAAAATAAGAACATGACAAAATATATACGAGTGAAGGAGACGTATTGCGGATGTGTAAATGTTCAGGTGAGTTTTGAAAATAGTTTTAAAAAAATTTTAATCAAGTTTTCAGTACATTGCAATAATTGCCAGTTGTGCGACCATGGTTTTCCAGTTGACATTCTCCATATTTTTCCTGATTTATGGACAATTATGGGGTTTGATTCCAATGGCTCTGACTATTTTGAGTCATTTGTTTTTTATGATAATTATTCATCAATTCAAATCCACGATTTCTGTGACTATTTATAGTGGAATAGAGGTGAAATATAAATGAACCTGTTGGAGATAATCAATATTTATACAGATTGCATTCGCTTTCACCATATTAGGATTTTCAATCTGGATCTTATCATGGGTACTCGATCCCAAAACAGCTTTTATATATTACTTTTGCGTGGACCATTTGGATTCGAGTTGTTATGGATGTAAGTCAACCATACATTACAGAATTCACACAACTAGTTGTATTCTTTCTAAATACAGTATAAAACAAAAAAAAATATACAAAAAAAGTATTTTCAGTGGATTCTTTATCATTTCGACGATATGCAGAAGTCTGGAGCTAGGCTCTCAAGTTTCCGATCACTCTCTCAGTTTTCCGATCAGGCTCTCAGTTTTCCGATCATTTGAAGGGTGTAAAACAAATCTATATTAAAAACTTAGCATTTACAGAAATTTCCAAAAGAAAATTTCTATTTTTCCGGCTATTTGTCGATTTCTGAAAGAACCTGTTTTTTATGTTATAAGTACAAAATCGAGTCAATAAGAGGGCCTTTCAGAAATCGAAAAATATCTGAAAAACTAGCAATTTTTTCGAAATTTTTTGTGAATACATCGTTTTCCATTTGGGTCTGTTTCGCACCCTCTAAAATTTTCAAAAAATTGGAAACTTTACAGCCGAGCTCCATACTTCTGAAAATTATCAAAAATAGCAAAAAATACCTCTTTTGAGAATTTTATTGACCAGTACTGCATGTTAGAAGTGACCTAAACGAAAATCCCGTAAATCCGCGACCCTGTTTTGAACCGCTTTGTTTAGGATGTTCTTTAAAACCCCAAAGATCCATAAAATCCCCAAAATATTTTAAGATACCCAAATAGTGTCTTTAATCTGGGGCTGCTTGTTCATCATCTTCTTCTTTGCGAGTGTTCTCCTTCTACCCATTTTCCGGAGCACCTGGCGAAACATCAAAGTCACCCGAAAATCATCATCAGTGTACATAGACGAGTAAGAAACCGAAATGACATTTCAAACACCATAAAAATCCTCCTTTCATTCATTTCAGCGATAACAAGCCCACTCCGGCGGTGCAACCCATTTTTAATATCAACTCGGGGCCTACGCCTGTTGCTCAACCGGTCCCCCAACAGATCATGCTACCTCCACAACTGCTTCAACAGTATGCTGGACCACAGGTCCATCAAGTTCCGCCAGCTCCAGCGTCTCAACAGCAGACGCAAATCCCACAACGACCCCAACAATTGTATCCAGCTCAACCTCAAACACAAAATATAATGACTCCATCGGGTGTAATCCATTTGAATCTCTATACCATCCAACTTCCAAACGGAAATAATACTTATGTAACGACTTCACCTATAATTGATCAATTAAGTACTGATTGCTTTGAGAGTATATCTCAAACAGACCAAATTATAGATGAAAGGTTATAGAATGACATTTTTATCGAGAAAAAATTCCGTTTGTTACAATGAAGCTGATCTCTGACTTGTTTACGTCAGTATTATCAATATGACAGGAGATCAAACTTCTGAAAGAGCAGTTGAACTCAGTAAATGTTTTAACTAGAACATATTTTCCAGAAAAAAACCAGAATAAAAAATGAGAGTGCTTTTTCTACATTACTTGGAATTTTTAAAAACGTTGACAATAATCAAAAAAAAAAAGAATAATACCGTACCTTTGCTGATAGAAGCCCATTCAAACCAAAACTTCGAGCTCATTTTTCTCAAATCCTGTAACAGATATCAAAATTCTGTCAACTGATAAAACATTGGTGATAATAACAGAAATAATCTTACAATCGACATCTTTCACAGGAATTGAGAGTTTTGGGCTTGATGTGGACGGTATACGGAAATCTTTATGCTTTTTCTGAAATTTCGACCAACTAAAAGTAACAAAAAAACGTTTTACGATCTTCTGTAGATAATGATTTAGCAATGATGTATTGTTTGTGATACTGAACTTTTTGGAGGAAATGAATAATCACTAGAGACTGAATAATCACTAGAGACTATTAAAAGCGTGAAAAAATCACTCTTATAGGAACCCACACAAACTGAACTTGAGCTTACTTATCTCGCTTTCTGTGAAAGATATCACAATTTGGTCAACTGATAAAGTATTGGTGATAACATGAGAACTAATTTGTCAGTTGACAATTTTTCGATATCTTTCACAGGAATTGAGATAATCAAGCTCAAACTTTACATTCAAGGCGATTGCCCTTAGAAAAAATACGGTGAGAGGTTTTTAAATTCGCCTACTACAGAGTTGGTTAAAAAATCAGCGTCCTATCTTTGGGAAAGTTTTCCTTTTTTGGTCTCGCTTGTGTTGGTTCTAATAACTAGTGATTCTGTTGCCTGGCGCACATTTTTCACATTTTGTGTGCGCGCGCACATCTAGTCAAACGACACTCCGAAATAACGGGACGCGCCTGGTTTAACAGAGAAGAATTCCTCGTGCAAGTCTACTTGTTTTAGCGTTTTCTTTGTCATACTATCATATTTTTTATTTTACTTTGCTAATGAAAAATTCAGAAACATTTAAAAGATGCCCTGATTTTCGTTTGATTGCTGTTAGATATGAAGAATTGGCGAAAGAGTGTTGTAAGTCTTAAATTATCCATATTTCGATGGAAATTGATATTAATGTCTTCCAGAAACCAGTTCTATATTTTCGACGAGGTTCATCGACTGATTTGGAAGAAATTCGTGAAGAAGTCACTGTTCATATGTCAGAATTCGTAGATTCAAAAGCCGATTTTCCAGAAAAAGTGTCGTTATCACGAGAACAAGAAGAGGTCATGTTGTGCATTTATAGACTTTTATTGTCTTCAAGTGGACGTCTTTTTGGTAAATTCGTGATACAAAGTGATAAAAATTGAGTAGACTCTTCACAGCTTCTCATCGACGACTAGAACAAACTAACCAACAACGAAAATCTCCCATGAAGTCCGTCACTCCGTCGGAGATCTTTCTGGCAACTCGATTACACAATCAATGTGCATTCCAACTACTTCAAATTTGCACACTCATTGTTGTCTGGGACACAGTGCGGTTATACAGTGATAGAGAAAGTCTGGCGGATGTGATTTTGATTCAGCTACTAGATCTTCTTGATTTATGGAAAATCGTTAGTTAGAAATCTCGTGATGGCATTACAAGATGTTCTTGCCATCCGACATTTTTGGTTGACGGTGGATCAAGCATATTATCATCAGAAGTGAAACAGAATACGTTTTTTTTCAATTTTTCAGCCCCACACGTCTGCCGTATTTGCTTTTTTTGAAAATGCTTACTTTTTTCTCGTTTTGGACAAACTCTAAAAACAAAGAAATTTTCAAATCAGAAAAAATTAGGAGTAAAGAAAATTGGGACAATGGAAAATTTTAATAATTAACATAAAAATCGAAATTTGAAAATCACATAATCTTGGGTAGTTTCAATAAAGTTTGCAACAGGAGTTTCTAGAAAAAAAGGAAGTGTCGTCACGGAAATCCTTCCTGTCCTGGTGGGTCATCAGCCGGTACATTCAGCTAGCTGTGAACCTTAATTTTTTTCGCATTTGAAATTTTTTCCAGATAATTTTGAATTTTCAGCCAAATTTTAGCCAAGAATTGAAACTGAACAAGTTAAATCCAATTAATCGCAATTCGCAGCAGAGCAGGTTGTCCTGAACATGAATATGTCGAATTTGTCTTCTAAATCTGAATCGTCCCAGTCGATTTTGAGAAAACTCTCATTTGTTGTAGCTGCATTCAAGCCTTGAAAATCGACAGTCGAATCTGAAGAAAAGTGTTTTGCTTCAAGTTTGAAATATTTGAAAACATACATTCATCATCTTCGGAATCTTTCAAAATTTTCAGTTTTCCAGATTTTTTACTTCTTGTGGTGGGCCTTGCTCTGATGGCTTCATCGAAAAAAGTTGAATGCGCCAGCTGAGCTACGCGATCACAAGTGTCCACTGCAACTGCTTAGCTCATTTTGTGGAGTTTGAGCAAAAATTAAGCAGGGAGCATCAGATTTCGAAGTGTTTGCTATCTAGAGCTATATAGAGCTATATATAGGTATATATAGGTATATATAGCTATATAGAGCTATATATAGCTATACGGCTTTGGGGCATCACGTCGTCGAAGCTGGTTGGCGTGCCGGGTCCAGGCGGTTTCGTTGACTGCGACGCCGTACATCGTTTTTCCAATGCGCTTTTGAATGGTACCTGGAACCCAAGTGGCAGTAATTATGTTACGGTAGTCTTTAACATTAACCTTCTCTCCAACTTGGTCTCTTTCCGGGCTTTTGCGGCCCTTGCTGTAGTTTCTTTCAGAATCAATTCTTTTGACCCTCTAATTCAGATATGATAGAACTCAACGAGTACTACAAAACTGTACTTTTTGGTAAAATACGGTTTGTCTATGAACAAAGTTACAAACAAAAAAGAGAGACCCGGCCAAGCGTCAAGAGGCCGACCCGGCTCTTTCTGCCTTGTGACTTTGTTCAAGTTAATCGAGAAATTCGAAAATTCGGTGAAAACTTACTCTGTTCGTCTTTGGAATCTGAATCGCCCAAATCGATCCTCATGAGGTCCCTATTTGGCTGTGTAGCGGTTCTCAAGTTATCAGAATGGAAAACGGCATCTGAAAAGAACTATTATTTTTCAATTTTAAAAATTTTAGGAAACAACCTTCATCATCGTCAGAATCTTGCTCATCATTGTCGGAGTCGTCCAAAATCACAAATTTCCGTATCTCTGGAAGAGGGGCTGAAAAATATTTTTCTTGGAAAAGATGATAACAATATTTTTCTAGACAATGCTAAAAATTTGAGGTTTGTAGTGGAGCAAATTTGCCACAATTAATAATAATTCAAAAATTCTTACCATGCTCATCTTCTGAATCTGATTCTTGCCAATTTATTCGGCGACGGTTTTTGTTGCGGCGCAGTTTTTGTTGAGGATTTTCATCTTCTGAGTCGTCCGAAATCACAAATAATGGTATTTTTGGGATAGGTACGTCATCACTATCACTTTCAGAGCTGGAGTCATCGTCAGAATCTTGCTCATCATCGTCAGAGTCGTCCGAAATCGCAAATTTCGGTATGTTTGGAAGTGGGGCTGAACAGGTAACTTTTTTCGGAAAAGCTGATAACAAGATTTTTCAGGACTATGCTTATAAAAACTTGAGATCTGCAGTGGGACAAATTTGCCACAATTAATAAAAATTCAACGAAAAATCTCACCGTGGTCATCTTCTGAATCTGATTCACCCCAAGCCATTCTGAGGCGGTTTTTGTTGAGTGATTGTTTTCGTTGAGCATTGTCATCTTCTGAGTCGTCCGAAATCACAAATAGTTGTATTTTTGGGATAGGTTCGTCATCACTATCACTTTCAGAGCTGCTGGAATCCATATCTACTCGATTCTGAATCTTTTGACTCTGATTCAAAGGAGGAGCTAAAAAATATTTGTTTTTCGAATTTGAAAGTTTTAGGAAACAACTTTTGTCATCGTCAGAATCTTGCTCATCATCTTCTGAGTCATCAGATAACACAAATTTCTGTATTTTTGGAACGGGTTCGTCATCAATATCACTTTTTGAGTTGTCGGATACCGAATCTACTTGTTCTTGAATCTTCTGACGCTGATCTGATGGAGGATTGAAGAAGAATAATTGAAGAAGAAGAAAAACAGACAGTGTCTTAATGTCTGCATCTTCAAATAGTCGTATTTTGGTTCCTAGAACAGCTACAAAAAAACCTTTATTGTTAATGCTTCAAATTCAAAAAATGGCCGGTTCGGAATTTGCGCAGACATTCAGACGCTCTAACTGTCTGCGTTTCCATCTATTCAGATACTTTCAAATATTAAAATTTCCAAAAAGCATTTTTAAAAAAATTTTTAGAAACTTTCAAGAAAAATTATAAAACGAAAACTCGAAATGAATTATAGAAAAAAGACCTTATTTTTGTCTCAAAATTTCAGAAAAAAAAACCCGCGTAGCTGTTGATACTCACCTTCAGTAATCCTATTTTTCCTGATCTTCTGTCTCCGTGAGCTCACTTGCTTACTGAGTCTCTTATTTCCCTTACCACAGTTGTCCATCGCAGATTTTTCTGAAAAAAGTGTTATTTAAATTTCGATCTCAGTGTTGTGAAAATCAGAAATTGTAATCAGTATACAAAAAATACGATAGGGAGTAAAATATGTGAGCATCGGAACATCATTTTAAATCAAATTTCCCAATTTTTGTTTCAAAATAAAGCTAATTTTCCGCTCTTCTATTTTACGCTTCAAAAATCGGCAAATCGATTTTTTTAGAAAAGTTTGAACATTAAGGGTCCTTGTTTATTTCAAGTCAACTCGAAATTTATCTGGGCAGTATTTTTGAGTTCACAACAAAAAATAGAGGGAAAACACCAATAAGACAAAGATAAAAGAATAATGCATAGGCGAAGAGAAGGCCTTTCTTTTTCTTTTTGACACGGTAGAGACACAATGTAGGTGAGAGAGGCGCAGACACTATGACAGAAGAGCTAGAGGATGGATGAGGCGTTGGACCAGCGTTCTGTTGTGATTTGTGAAGGAAGAGTGTCTCATTAGACGTGGTGGCCCCAAAATCGATCGGATTAGAGCCAAGCGGTCGGACAGTCGCTAACTGAGTGTCGGTAGCTGCCATGTCAGAACCTACATCTAAAATGGAGTGATGGAAATCTGTATACGTGTACAAAATGTTGGCTCTTTTCGGGAAGAACGGTCCCAAAGCGGGACCGTCGGTCACATCATCGGACCGCCGGTCCCAACAAATTGCGACAACGGTCCCATTGCTTCGACAATGGTCTCATTGTTCCGACAACAGTTCCAATGCCCCGAGAACGGTCCCCACGTTCCGACAACAGTCAAAAGGGTACGACAAGAGATTAAGCCTGGTTGGGACCGTTGTCGAAATTTTTTTTTGGGCCCGGTGGTCCGATGATGGGACCGGCGGTCCTGTTTTGGGACCGATCTTACCGTGCGCAAATGAGCTCATCATATCAGCATTTATTGGGACAGTAAGCAAGAGGCAATCAAAGAAACATTAAGATGTAGAAATCAAGGAAAAATACAAAAGGACCAAACTTTCGGATCATAGAAAATGGGAAAACTTCGTGTGAAGATTTTTTCGGACTCTCCGAATTTCAAAATCAACTCGTCGTCAACCGGAGCATGGGAGTCAAATTTGCAGAGAATTGGAACCCGAACCGTGCAGCCAATATCCACAACGCCTTCAGAATTGCCAACAATTTCCAGAAATTGGTTCGTCAAGTTCACAGAGTATTTGATTGGCGTGTTTGAATTGTTTTTAATTCCAAAATGCACAAAATTCTGGCAACCGATAGACCTGGTAATTGCAAGGCATTGGCTTGGAAATGTGGCAATTTCTTTGGGTCCGTATTCTGAAAAAATTCAAAGTTTCGGTTTAATTTTTTTCGAAATTTACAAAAAAAACCTGGATTATTTTCTTGGTTCTTCAGAACCTTCTTTTTCCATTTGTCGAAACTCGATGTTTTGTTTGGAACGGGATTGGAAAGGCAGGAAGAGAGCATTTGATTGATTAAATCTGGAAAACAACTACCGTAAAACCTCTAATAGAACGACACCCGGATCGTCCACTTTGAGCCTATATATCTCACTTCTTTTGAAAGATATCAAAAAGTGGTTAACTAGTAAAATGTTTATCAGGATATCAGCAATATTTTACTAGTTAGCCACTTTTTGATATCTTTCACAGAAAATGAGATATATAGGCTCAAAGTGGACGATCCGGGTGTCGTTCTATTAGAGGTTTTACGGTATATTTTTATACTTTGACCGTAGCTTAGTATATAACAGTCAGAACTTGTGACCGTATAGTTGAGGCTGAAATTGGTCTGCCAGTCGTGTAGCTCACCTTGATTTTGCGCAGCAAGTGCAGCGAAAAAATCCTCTTTTGAAGAAGTCAATGGCCCAGAAGAGCTGGTTGGATTCCCTGAAAATTTTGAAATTACTATTTTGTAGTTCTTGCAAAAAACTTCTTACGCGATTCATCATTCTTTTCGATTTCTCGATTATCTCCTGAGTCCATTTTCCTGGAAAAAAAAACTAATTTCAAAATAAATTTTTTATTCACGAATTTAAAACTTTTGATGCTAGGTTACAAAAAAGGGGGAGAAGGAAAATAATTATGTTTCAATTTTCAGCTTAAAATTAAATAAAAAATAACGACTTTGAGCCAAGAAAAGTCCGTGTTTTGGTGCAGTCGCGAGAGAGCGCGTTTTCATTAGATGCGGCAGATTCAATTTATGAGTTTTTTTAGATTTTGAAGGTTGAATGCGATGAGGAATCGATAGAGAATTTATTGTTCTACCAAACTGTTAATCTTCGATTACTCTTGTTTTTGGTTCATTTATTGTTCGAAAAATAGGCAGTTTCTTTTCTTTCCAGCATAATAGAACAAAACAATTTCAGGACTTACATTTGAGAGCTATTTGCCAAGCGGAATTTTCGATTACTGGTGATGATCACACGGTCGAGTTCCGAGAGATTACTGGGAAGAATGTTCTCCTGTTCAAAAGAGGGACAGAAAATATCTTTACCGATCAATACTATGCTAGTATGTGTGTAATGCGTGGTCCTCTCTTTTTTCCCAGCAGAAGGGCAAGGAGGACAAGGAGGAGCTATTCTGAGCTGCGTCGCAACGTGCGCAGATGAGGTAGACGGCCAGACACATGACCTCTTACTGTTCGCATAAATTGGCAGCCAGTTGGACACAAATGACCCACACGGACCCGCACGGCTCCTCTGGACGATGCCATTTTTTTTCCATTGGATACTTCAGAAAATAATATGACGATTTCTCACATTTCGTCTGATGCCGTTTATCTCCAAACGTTTCCTATTTTTATTCTCATTTTAACTTTCCCAACCCTCCAAAAAACGCTCACAAACAATCAGTATTTCAGCAAAAATTGAAAAGAATCTTATACTCAAAAATCGAACGCAAAGACTTTTGCTAATCCCTTTTTCGTTAATATTTTGCTAATCGAAATCAAATACGCGCCAAAAAAGCCCCTTCCGACCGCAAACACCTGGAACACCTCTTGCGTACAACGCCGCCAAGTTCGAATTAGATGACGTTCTTACCTTTCTCGTAGATTGATGTCATTCTACGTTTACGTTTCTTCCACCTTGTTTCCCTAAAATACCTTCGATTATATTTTTATAGTATCCAACTCTCGATCAGCCTTTATTTTCACTAAAATCGTTTTTTAGGATTCGGCCGAAAATTTCTTACGAAGACCAATGTTTTCTGGTTCAAAGGAAGAGCAGACACTATCCGCATGTCTTACGCTACTGTGTAAGTAGGTCTCGCTTTCTCCCAAGAGACGGATAAGGAGGAATATGTGCGCAGGCCAGGCACGTGAATCCACACTGTTCCCATCGATTGGTAACTAGTTGCCATGAACTCGAATGACCCAGACTGAGCTTTCAATTGGAAGCTGCTCTACAATATCAACGTAAGTGCCCGAACACCTATAGTTCTTCCTCAACATGTTTTCAGAAAAGATCACGGCGGTTACTCACATTATCGGAGACAAAATAGTGAAAGAAACCTACCGGAATCGATCGATGCGGATCTTACAGTATTACAATCAGGAGTTCATGTGGCCGCTCTATCGAACAGAATCAGATGACAGATAGTTCTCGTATCCACGCTCAACGGATAAACGCTTGACGGCTACCAATGATGTACAAGATATTCGGTAGAGAGATCAATCCATGGATCATCAGGCAGTGGATGCTTTCTAAGATCAACTAGTGGGAAAGTAAGTTTAACATATCATTTTGAGTCAATATCTACATTGCTTTCAGAATTAGTCTACCTGATCTGAGTCGATCTGCGATGGATGTCTACTGGTTTATGTCTGTTCACGAATGGATGGATCACAACGAGCTTCATCAAATGCCGAAGAATAACAGAATGTGAGAACTACGGCGGAGACTGCGCTTGAATGCCTCAACCTGTCGGCAGTACGATGTAGCAAGACTGGAGTCTAAGAAGAGAAAAGCATCAAGAAAATGTTGCCAAGTTGCTTTCTCACGTGTTTGGCTCGATGATGACTCAATTCACTTATTCTACCTACGGAGCACTGACTGGATATTTGTGCGCAGAACAAGAACTCTATGAATGACGTTCCATAGAGATATCCTTCCATTTCATTGAATGAAAGGAAGGAAACAGAGATGCCGTTAAAACAACAACTGTATCTTACACTTGTCACCTTGGAGAGTCAAAAACTACGTCGCTGGGATAACCTGGTTCTTGGTACTTTTAAGCTCAACTCACAACTGCAGTTCCCTTTAGGTTCTGGAGAACAAGGTAACTATCAAAAACTCATTTGAGATCTCCTTTTAAAAATATTTTTGAATTTACAGAACCTGAAGCATTTGGTAGATGAACCTTGACAACGGAACTGAGCGAATTCAGCAGATGTGCAGCAATTTATGCATTCTTAATGGATCTATGTTTTACGAAGAAATGATGCATTGTCTTATGCTCATGACACTTAATACAAATGAGATGTCTAAATGTAAGTAAGTGCAAAATTACTGTTACAGATATTTGATAAGCTTCAGCTAGCATTTCCAGGAACTGACCAGGATAACAAACACAGAAGAAGATTCTGGCACAGAGACAGGATCGTACTCCAGAGACAGGATCGTACTCCATTGTTTGCACCTTCTGGATTCCTATTGAAATTTTCGGAGATCGCTTCAATTCAATTTCACAGCAAGTTTGTGGCTAATCCTTGAAATATGCGTTTTAGGTAGTCAAGTTTTTCAACGTATCTGGTAGACATGTCACGTTTTTCCAGCAACTGGAAGTATTCAACTTGAAAATATCGAGCAGAGCTGCTTCCGCCACTGGTCGAGTCGAATCTCGATCTTTGAAACTTTTTCAACGGTCCAAAATCTGAATCTGCTTAAAATATCTCCCTTCAGTAAGTTTTCGTTTCAACTTTGTCTCACAAAAGTTTGATCAGCTCAGACTGTTCCCAACTAGCTTCTAAAAGATCTTCCCTGTCTCTCAGTCTTCTGAGTATCCCCACGCACCAGGATATATTCTGACAATAGTCATTTTTGTTCTAGTTATACTGTAGTTTATAGCTCAATTCAGAACGATTTGATCTTTGATCAGCTATTTCGTAAACAACAAAAAATTCTCTTCGAAACCATTTCTGATGACTCAAAAAAAAAGAAAAAAAGAATTTCTCTGCGACTCTCACCCTTTCGCAGTCCTTCGTTGGGCGGGGCGTGCATAACAGTGAAGCATGTGATTGTAGATAGCCAATAGGCAGTTTGTCATTCGGTCCTGTATTTTCGTTAGTCATCGCCTGTTTTTCTCTGCTCAAAATTGTTCTTTTTCTCTATTTCACTATCTACTTCCAACCGAGTGTAATATTAGTGTGAAACCACTCCAAAAACTGTAATTTTTTCGAACTACAACTTTTTTGAAATCCAAAACTAGAATTGTAGATCATGATCTTAGCAGATTGTTACCATTTTCGTCATAACTTCTCAAAATTAGCTTGACTCGGTCTGTCTACTATGCTCCGATGGAATTTTAGGTCAGGTTTTGTTGAGCCGTATGAATTGTCAGCTGGTGGCTTAGTGGTTCCTATCGAGTCATTTCTAGTGTCTAGAAATCAATCCAGCAAACATTTCCTATTTCCACTAACGTTTTAGCGCCTATGAAGCATTCCATAGCGATCTTAAAAAACCAGAGGTGACGAGTACATAGTTTGATGTTTTTGGTATTTTTGGTAGTGAAGAGCCTATCAAGTTTGATAGCTAAAACTGAGATCCTTTTTTTTAAACCCCCAAGGACCAGCACATTCTAAAAAATAGAATTTTTGCTCTAGGTATACCGTAGTCTCAAGCTCTGTTTAGAACGGGTTGGTTTTTTGGTCAGCAATTTCGTAAACAACAAAAATTCTCTTCGAGACCATTTCTGATGAATCAACAAAATGGATTTCTCGGCGTCTTCCACCGTCACACTCCCTATTGTTGGGCGGGGCGTGCATAACCGTGAGGTATGTTATTGTGGATAGCTGATAGTCAGTCAGTTATTCGATCTTGTATTTTTGCTCGTCGTCATCCGTTTTTTCTCTGCTCAGAATTTTTTCCCATTTCCACCATCCACGTTTTACCGTACGTAACATTAGTATGAGGTCACTCCAAAAACTTAGTCGTAACTTTTTTAAAACTATACTTTTTCGAAAACCTAAAATCGCAACCCTAATCAGCATTTGGAATGATGCCTAGAAAATGATTTAGGTAATCACATTTAGAAAACTGAAAAACTGTCTGCCACGTGCTGTCGAGATGGCGTTTTAGATCGATTTTTGTTGAGCCGGCTAAATTGCCCTATGGAAGATCGGAAGCTTGGTATTGAGGGCTTCTAGTGATTTGATTAATCTATCAGACATTCTGATGCTCACTAACATTCCCGACATCAAATGCGACCAAGGCTATTTCAGCAATCATAAAAGTCATGGTATACTGTAGTTTGAAGCTTTATTCGGAACGATTTGTTTTTTAGTCAGCTATTTCGTAAACAACAAAAAATTATTTTCGAGACCATTACTGATGACTCAACAATTAATGGATTTCTGGTGTCTCTCACCCTTGCACTCTCTTTCGTTGGGAGGGACGTGCCTAACAGCTAGGCATAGAATTGTAGATAGCCGATAGGCAGTTAGTCATTCGGTCCTGTATTTCCGCTCGTCGTCGCCTGTTTTTTTCTGCTCAAAATTTTTCCTTTTCTTATTTCCGTCTTCCCCTTCCTACCGTTCAATCCACCACAAAAACTAGGACTTTTGAACTACAATTTTTTTTGAATCTCGAAATTCAGCATTTTTGCGCTAGGTATAGCGTAGTTTGTAGTCTGCATCAGAACGATTTGATTTTTGACCAGCTATTTCGTGAACTACAGAAAATTTTGCTTCCAGACCATATCTGATAACTCAAAACATTCTCGATAGATTTCTCTGCCGCCTCTCACTCCTGCGCAATCTATCGTTG